AAGATCGGCGGAACAGTGAGCGCCGATGCAGCTTTCAATGCGATAAGCATACCGCTCTGAACACTTGCAGTCGCTGCAATGCGCATTGTGGCCCATGTATTCGCTTATCTCGTTAACATCTATGTAAAAGCGAAGCCGCTAGTGAGGGGTTAGGGGCAAGGAGTCACAGAGGGAATCGGACGCGGAGCCTCGGGCGCAAAGGTCCCGATCTCGATCATCTCAACGTGCGGGAGAAGCGTACAGTAGTTTCCGTCACATGCGGGCTCGGCAGTTCCGTACCCGGTCTTTCGTGCAAACGGTACTCCCGACGGAATCCATTCCCTCGGGAGAGGAAACGACTGAATTGCAGAAAAGGGTGAGCTGAAACGGCGTTCTTCCCGACGTCGGACTCCAGACTGGGTGAGATCTGGGTGACCCGAGGAGACCACAGATTTGGCGCCGATCGCTCCGACCGCGAAGCGAGAGCGCCGGAAGAAAGCTCTCGCTAAAGACCTCCCGGTGAGGCACGCTGTAGCCGTTGTTTACACACCATTGCCTGAGCTCTTGATTCTCGGGCAGTTGCTGTTGTCCGTCGAACAGTTGTGCGAAGCGACGCCCGGTGAAGAAAGCCGGGAATACTATATTATTCCTTCTCTAAGTTTATCAGTGACCGAGGATCGGCAGGGAGCGGCCGAACGGTGCAGTGTTATCATGAGGACTTTCGGAGACCGTCCGATCGCCTTCCAATTGGAAGATGGAGGCGACTACTATTACATCGGGACTGAGGTAATTCAAAGAGCCTCGAGACATATATAAAACGGGGACGTTGTGAAAAAGAGTGCGTGGAGCGACCTCGCTATGAGCCTGAACGTTCTCGAAGTGGACATCATCACGCGGGCAATCAGCGTTTAGAGTCGGTTCATCCACATATGAACAATATTTCTTATTTAAGGTTGGAAACTACATGCGGCTATTCAGGGGCACACTGTACAAGAAATACCCATCGCTATGGAGGAGACCGGTTACGGTTGAGGAAAGGAAGAAAATCTCCCAAATGGGTGAGCTTTTGATCAGACTCATTATGGGAATGCGTGACAATCGGAGGTCAATGGCGCAAGAACCGATGATGATGGCGCAATGTCAATGATTATGAGTCATGAGTAGATACGCTGGTCTTCGGGCTCGTCAATTCCTGTGAGCTCCCGCGGAAGAATTCCATTTCGGGGATTCATATTGAATAATCCCCTCTTCCATTTCGTAGAAAACATGAGTCACCATTCGGCGGCAAACTTCATTTCGCTCCTCAAGAAAGTTGAAGTTGACGATCTCATCGACGGTAACGAGGAGAAATACAGAGCAGCTCCTGTCCAAGAGAGTAACTACGATGGCGGAGCACATGGGTGAGTTCTGCCTTCAGAGATCGATTCCATCATGAGCCCCTCCTGCGAGCGTCGATATCAGCCAAACGTAATTCTAATCGTGATGGTGTGCAACAGGGCGAAAGCAATCAAGGCACGACCATCATTCATGCCGGCTGCTCCCAACAACGCGCATCACCTCGACGCAGTCCCGTGTTCGACCCCGATAAATAGGAACAGACTCCAACATACGAAGAAAAATAAGAGTTTCCCGATGCTGTGAGTTAGATTGCGCAAGGACGTGAATTTTGTCGACGCATCTGTATTCGAGTGTACGAAGACATTCCCTCGCTCCACCCACAAGGGGAAGAAGACGCTGAGAGATCCTTCTTCTTCCAGGTATGATGATCTCGATCCGGCGACTCTCCACGAAAACGCTGCTATGCCCGAATGTCTCGTCCCGATCCGTCTGGACATGGAAATCGAGGGGAATAAGCTCCGCGATACTTTCACTTGGAACAAGAACGAGGCTCAAATATCTCCAGAGCAATTCGCGGAGATCCTCTGCGATGATCTCGATCTCCCACCCCTCCTCTTCGTGCCTCAGATCGCAGCATCGATGCGACAGCAAATCGAGGCGTTCCCGACAGAAAGTCTCCTCGACGAGCAAACCGATCAGAGAGTCATCATAAAGCTCAATATTCACGTGGGGAACATTTCTCTCGTCGACCAGTTTGAGTGGGATATGAGCGAGAAACTGAATTCACCTGAGGAGTTCGCCACGAAACTGTGTTCAGATCTTGGATTAGGCGGCGAGTTCGTGACAGCGATCGCGTATTCAATCAGAGGTCAGCTCGCTTGGCACCAACGAACGTATGCGTTCTCGGAGGCGCCTCTCAGTCAACTCGAAATGCCCTTCCGACCTCAGAGCGAGGCTGAGCAATGGTGTCCATTCCTCGAAACTCTCACCGATCAAGAAATGGAGAAGAAGATTCGTGATCAAGATCGAAACACTCGCAGAATGAGACGGTTGGCCAACACGCATCCCGGCTGGTAGGTCTATGAAAATGTCTATCCGCACCCTGGGTGCACTCCGTTTCTCTGTCCCGTACTTGAATTTGAAATCATGATCCTTTCGATATCCTATCAATAGTTTCTAATAAACCTGTGAATTCATCTATGACGGAACGCATTTCTTCTCAAAAAGAGAATTGCCGATGGGGAGACATGCTCAAAACAACTCGGAGCAATGGAGGACCCCTCCATTCTCGGTGGAGCGTGCACTTCTTCTTCTTCCCCACCTCCTTTATCTGGTCAACCCGGAGAATTGATTCTCTCGCTTTCCCATTTAGAGTCTCGTTCGAGCTTTATCCGACCACAAACAATCTTTCAGACTGAACGAAGCCCCCATGTCGATGATAATATGTATCACCACGTCCCTCTCCTTCCCCGTAAAACTTCACCGAGCCAAGCCTTTCCCGCACCTGAATCTCCCCAACGACCTTGTCCATCATATTAAACAACACAGATAGAAAACGCCGGAAGATCTTCAACTTGAAAAGTTTGTGACAGTGACAGTAAGCTTTAGTGCGATTTCTTCGTGTGAGTCTGCTGTAGGATTGTACATCATTCCAGCCTCGAAGGGTGCCTCAGAAAAATCTCGTTTGAAACTCAATATTGTATATCATCATCTCATTAGGATAGTATGTGGAAGATAGCGCCTAATCCAAATCTAGAGCTCTTGTAGGCGCTTTCAGTCTCTCTCTCCCGAGCTCGGAAGACAATATTCACATGGAATAGAGCTCAGGTCTCCTGCGGGAATCCTGAATATCACATGACTCCAATATCAGGGTAATTCTCACAGCATCTCGAAAAATCTCGTAACGAAGCTTTGGCTCGATAAACTTTCGCATGAATATTGTTTGTATTCGAAGATAGTTTGCGACTTTGTCGTATTTCTCACTCTCAAAAGTTCACATTTTTTCGCATGCCTCGATGCTCTCTCTACCCAGCAGCGCTGCATTGGGCTTTCTGCGTGAAGTAGGTGATACCCGAAATTGACAGTAGAATTATTATCACCGTGTTCCCATAAATGTACGTCCGGAACTTGGGATCGACATCTCCCTGACGGTACCAGTGTATCTGAGGAGAGAAAAAGTCGCGATCAACTTCCAGTGCGGACTCCTCTATCGCTCCAGACGCTCAAAACCAGACCGGATCCCTGAGCTTTAAGTCCGATTCTTTTTCCCTTCACTCGGTTCTCACAATGCTTGCATTTCTATCGCTGACTCGACACCGATGTTCATACTCTTACCAAGATGCAATGAAGAAGACACATGATTATCAGGACAAATGAGAAATATATGTGTCGACCGTCCGGCGGTATGTTGTAGAAGAAGGCGAGACAGAGAGTAACCTGTGGGGATAGGGAAGACGTGAGATCGAGCTCCCGGAATTCAGCTCGAGCAAAATAGATCGGTACCGCTGGAAGAGTTCCAGTCTCTCCAGGAGATGAATCTCCAGAGTATTTTGCCACGGAACGCTTCTACTCACGAAAACGAGGACTGATGTAACGGCAGCGAGTCCATAGTGCAGATAACGCTCCCTAGGGCTGGAGTCATTGAAGAGCGGCATCTGAGGACCACCGAACAGAGGGCTAAACTCGGAACCAGACGCCATCTCTTGCGTTGTGCTGAGTTTTCGGAAATTCTACCCGCAACGCGCCATCAGCGAAACTTCATCAGAGGGAGGAACTTCCTGCTACTCCGCCGATCTCTCTCAAAGATTCCTCTCTCCGGTTCTGAGTCCTGGCTGAGGATCTAGCGTTGGTGGCAGAGGATGACCTCCGCAGCGAGACTGATTTTTTCCTTCTAACCGCAACTTCCACAAGGCGTCACCGATGAGTTCACAAACTCAGTCCACAAAAAAGAACAAAAGGAGTTCGCCTCGAGCCGGCTCTGCCTGAGTTGTGATAGGTTTCCTCGAAACTCCCTCGGATCGCGACTTCGGCGCGCTGTTGTGCTTCACAATACTGCTCTTCGTAAGTCCTCACTCCTTGTGCATGATTCGTCTCTTCCACGACGATCCAGGATCACCTGACTCTAGCGAGAGCTGTCAGATTCGTCATAACTCGTTTTTTCGCTTGAGGAATCGTCGCATTCGAAACATTGCGACGCGCTTCTCATCGGTTAGCCTGGGCTCGTATCTCCGGCTAGCCGTCGCCGACTTCACCTCGGGAGGAAAGCGTCGATCGGGAAGGAATATCGAATACCGTCGGAAGCGTGTCACACACTCGGCTGGGCGATGGATGGTGTCAGTTATCTCCGTCAGTCAGTGTTTTTGGACAGATAGACAGACAGCTGTTTTGACATTGATCCCGGAGAGGACGGTCCGACGATTTCCTCGAGAATTGTCGGCTTTCGATCATCATCGGAGAGAGGCTCTCATCCAGGTGTACAGTTCGAGTCCAGGTGTACAGCGCGTAAACTTCCCTCTCTTTTCTCAAAAGGAGTATATGGTGTCTCCGTTCATATCGAAAAGCCGCTCAATCTTAAGACTTGCAATTATTGAGGCACGCGGGATGCCAAAAAGGGCATCGCTTCGTGCTGCAGGAACGACGCACGTCGGGAACACGCTCGCTTAGGATGCCGAAAAACGCAGGGGAGCGTGAAGAAAAGCGGAATCGTTTCATAAAATTCGCCTGTGTCGAGCGGTTGCAGACGAATATTTAGGAGGCCTGGATGATGATGATCTCTGCCGAGGAGCGACAAGAACCGACAGCTTTCTGACATTTCTCTGTTTCTCTGCGGAAAAAAACGGAGTCCACGGAGGAAATGCGAAGGACTCCTCCGTGGGGCCTGGTCTTCTCGGTGATCCTTTCAGTCTCTCATCGTTCCCTTTTAATCCGGGGATTGAGCTGTTTTTTGTTTCACTTCTGCGCAGGCACGTGAAGTCAAATCGAAATTCTTGATTCCAAACGGTCCACGCCTCTCGTAGTATCGCTCGTGCACAGCCAGCGATTCCTCCTTATGCCGCTCATCCCGTCGTCGCTCGGGCCGGGGCTCCCGTCAACGCGAGCGCTGGATATCTTGCCCAGTACCACGAACTGAACCCCGATTCAACTAGACCTCCTTATTCCTAGCAGATGGAGCCGAAGACTTTGCTGGCTTTCCTTCTGCCCACCAGGACCAGTAGGAAGTCCCATAATATAGAGCCTCATGTTTAAAAAAAAAATCTCGGTGTTTGGGGAGAGCTTTGAGGATTTCCGGGAGCTTGCGAATACTTCGATGATATGCTGTCGACTATCTGAGGGAGGAAGAAGAAGATAATTCAGCTTGAGTCACAGAGAGGTCAGGGGCACTGAGCTCGATGCTCAAAGGAATAATTTCTGCACGAGAAGCTCTCCACTAACATTTTTCTCGAAAGGGAAACAAATCCAGCATGTCACCCGGCGACATCGGAGCCGTGCACTCCTGGAATCCCAGCTCCCGATCAGTCAGTAGTGAGTCGTGAGATTGCTCTGAAATGAAAACATTCAGTCTCATGAATAGGAATGGTGGAGCTCCGTCTACGTTCCTCCCCGGGCTCCAAGCGACATCCATGTCCTGGCAGTCGATCTTTTTGGATTATCAGCCGAATCACTCTTGAGAGCAATCGTATGTGACCCATGAGTCACATGACCTGCTCTCTCGAAACGAGCTTGAAATTCCGAATCATTTGGACCTGACCCGTGCAGGTCAGGTCCAAATGAGGCCCAGGAGAGATTTCTGTGAGCGATGATTTGAATTACCGCGCGAGCGCCTTCGAGGGCCGCGCTCCCTGACCGCCATCCTCTCCTACGAAACTTCTCTGGCATTCCGCCATATGATACGTGAAAGCGCGCGCCTCCCTATCGAGACAAGATGTCGAGTTTCCTACAGAGTTCCCGGGACAAAGCCGTAGCTGTCAGATCTCTCCTGTGCCTAGTGCAGGCTCTCGAAGGAAGGGAAACAACAGTAGATCTACGCAATGAGACAGAAGTCGTCGGCACCATTGAAGTCGTCGATGGGTGAGTTCCGACGTCGACGGCTGTGCCGGGAAAGCCGCTCGGTGTTGATTCTCGAACGGAGCTCACTGGCTTCTCCCGTGAGGTGTAGCTCCCGATGGTGACGCCTGTCTAGGACTAACGAGTGTCAGACTGCATCCTAAGAGCAGTCGGATCATCCAGATCACTGTATTTCCGGAGAGGGTTGCGCGCGAAACCAGTAAGCTCTCTCCATGTCTCTAAGTGTCCGACTTCCCATACGACCAGTCTTACTCTTTAGAGGGGCAGACTTCACACGTCATCAAGATCAGAATGGTTCTAGATTCCAGCAGAGCAGAAATGCGCGAAAGAGACTGGACGCTCTAGCGCCAATTTCTCCGTCCCCGTGCGAAGCTCTCACAGATGTCAAAATATTAGGAACGATCGAGTTTATCTCTTTGCACACTTCTCGTTTTCAATCGTCAGTTTCCTCGGATTAAGATTGTCGACGTGAATCGAACGCAGCGTGACGGTCGGGATCGCCGGGACGAGGTGGCCGAGTGGTTAAGGCGTTGGACTGCTAATCCAATGGGCTCTGCCCGCGTGGGTTCGAATCCCATCTTCGTCGTAACTTTTTGCCTGCCGCCCTGTTATTTATTAGACGTCCCTCAACCCGCCAAATTACAAGCAGCGTCGAGACCCGGCGCTTTTACGAACCATAGAGGAAAAAGCATCGCAGGCGTTCTTTGGATCTGACCCTCGTCGCACCGTTGCGGACCAGGTCGACCACTAGAAACTTTAATTTCGGAAGGGCGCATCATTCGAGAAGCACCGTAAAGTCCGTCAGCCGTGTCTCTCCATTGATTGCGAAGCACGCACCACGCAAGTCAGGGAGGAGCTCTAATGCACCGGAACTTTTTGATCGCTCGTTTCGATCTCTCGTTTCTGCGTCATCGGCAGGAGACTCCGGCTACCCCCTTGAGAAAATCCAGACAACGCTGTAGGTACTCAATCCTACATATATTCTGAACGGTGACTCAGATCCTCTTGAGGATCTATAGGTCCGATGTCGCCCGATTTCTTCCTGCTTTTTTGTGACCTGTTAATATGCTGAATTTGGGACCAGAAAACCCATCACTCATCATTCCACCGTGATTCCAGGCGAATGAACATCCAGATGTCAGATGCCGTCGTCACGATGCCAAACGGGTCTTCTCGACAGTTTTCATTCCTTCACGTCCGCGGAAGAAATGTTCGTTACGTCCACATCCCACCAGACGTTAATATCATGAAAACGATAGAGGATCGAGTTCAGCGAGTCCAAGGAGTTATCCCCGCCGCTCAAGCACCTAACGACTTGGCGGTGATGATTACTCGACGGAAACGAGAACAACTTCGACGGAGGAGGCTCGCAGAAGGCCGTTAGTTTTTTTTAAAGAAAGCTCCCGCAGACAGACATAGCTAGTCACCAGCTCACACTTTCGTCGTCCAAAGCATGCGAGCGCGATCTAGGGGGGTGAGCTATCAGACGGCCGCACAAATTCTTGATCGAGCTCTCGATACGAAGTTACCTCCTCAAATAAAAGACGGATAGACCGGAGGAGATCGCATTGTTTCCCGAACGCTCCTCCCGACTTCACAGCCCGCGAAGTACAGCACGATAGACCACACCCCGCGTCGAATAATTTCGATCATCGAGCTTTACGGTGCAAACTAAAGGCGGATCCGCAGCGGAACTCACGAAGCTATAGCCTCGTCTCCTCCGGGATTCGTGAGGCTAGCTGTTTCGTAGACCCCGTCAGGCCTAATTTCTACCCGCCCGAATATTGTCGGATTCCGGAAACCGGGGGACATGAGTTCTGTCAACCACTTTGGGAATTACATCATCCACTGTACGCTCGAAGACTTTGCTACCGTAGGGTTCATACTATGAGCCGAATTCTAAGGATGAAGCTTCTCTCCGTAGAAGCTTCCCGGTTCCCACCACTCTCCCTGCACGCTTAGGTGCAATAACAATATGTCAAATATCTTCATTCCGATGATATGATCTCCATGATGGATGAATTCCTCACTTTCCGGGCCCTGTTTTCAAAGTCCATTACTATTCCCGGACATTTACGAACTTCTGCGAGCCTTATACGCCAGCAGCAAATTTTTTTTCACGGGGACTGCGACAGACCGCGGGAAGTCTTCTCGCCTTTAGATCGATACGGGCGCGATCATGATTCAGCTGAAATTTCTCGCAGAAACGAAAATTAAAAAAGGCGAACGGGTGCCTGGTATCCCTCTCCTCTGGAAGGAGACTTCAAAGCATACATTATACTCTCAACTTCTTCTCGCATTTCTGGCCACTAACGTCCCTTGTGGACGGACTTACAGCGCTCTAAGGCTCCCGGTTCGAGAGGTCTCGCTTCCGTATGAGCTGAATGAAATCTGATCCGATGTGAAAATCTCGGTAAAAGTGATTAAAATGATGATGCCAAGCTTCCGCTCCGGAAATCAATTGTATGAGCACAGGTCTTGCCAGGTGGTCCCCGTATGCGATCGTGCTCACTATCTTCGGAATCGAAGGCCGTAGCCGTTAGCCCCAGTGGGTGATGGGAAGGGGGAAGTGTCCAGCTCTGTCTACGAGAAAGTCTAATTCCACTTCCTGGTGAAAACTTGAGATGTTTTCCAGAAATTGATGCCTGCCCCTACAGGATCTTCATAAAAAAGGTTGACTCGAAGATCATCGGCGCAGCCGATTCGAGTCTCTGCGACGGCACCGCACCATTTCGAGAGCTCCAGCGCAGCGTCCCTCGCACAGAAGCTAAGCGGAGCGGAGCAATGACATCGGGATTCTCTGGCATGCGTTTTCCGTAGCAGAGTGGCGCAGTGGAAGCGTGCTGGGCCCATAACCCAGAGGTCCGTGGATCGAAACCACGTTCTGCTAACATATTTTTTCGCGTTTCTTTTCTCTGTTTTCCTTGTCAGAGTTTTCGCTGACTATCGCGTCTCGGATGGGAAGTTCGATTCGGGGCTCTGTGTTATCATCTCAGGGCTCGTTTAGCTTTCTCCGCTCTAATATTCTGCTCACTGGAAGCGCCTGAGCGGCGAGAGATCCCCGATGATGCTGGCGACGACGGGACCTGGGATGATTTGTACGCGAAACTAACGATGTGTGGCGTCTTTTTCATCTCGGTATGCTCGCAATAATGGGATCCTCCCCTTGTCCCTTGCTCGATGGCCGGAGAGATCCAGGCTGATTGTGGGTAAGGAGACAGAGCGCAACCTCTGTGCACTCCGGCATGGTCTAGTGGCTAGGATACGCGGCTCTCACCCGCGAGGCCCGGGTTCGATTCCCGGTGTCGGAATATTTTTATTCTTTCCCCTTGCTTTTCGTTTTCGGTTTTGTCTCTCCGTGTCCTTTCAGCCGGTGTCTGGATCGAGCGGACTCCACAACTTTCGATAGTTCGCAATGAACTCTCCAGATCGTCGTGAATAGCTTCGCGATACAGTCTCCGGTCTCAGAAGAAATTCATTTCTCCGCTCATCTTTATTTCTCTCAGGAAGATTGACAACGTACCTAAGAAGCAATAACTATTTTGTACAGTCCCTTGATTCCGCTCCACCTGGAGCGCTCGGTGCCTACCTAATCATCTTTGACTACATCATCCGTATTAGGATCAACTTTATACTTGTCGGGGAGCTCTTCACCCCGGATCACGTAGTCGAACTCAAGGATGTTCTTGGCCTGTAAGACGGTCGGCATGTCGATCATGGATCCCCTGGAAAAACGGAAATATGACCTCGTCCCTTCGGATTAATAAGTATATTCGGAACAGGATTCCAATTTATTATTCTCTGCTCTGGTCGAGCAAAAGTTATTAGCAGCCTCCTTATCGACCGACCTGAAGTTGAATGCGCCTTTGCCGCTCTCGACGTGGGTTTTGAATTCTTTGATGAGGTCTTTAGCCCATTCGATCTTCTCCTTGCGTGGAGAGAAAGCTTCTTGCACGACTGGAACTTGAGACGGGTGGATCACTTGTTTCCCAGTGAATCCCAATTTAACACCCTCTAGAGCTTGCTTCCGGAGGCCCTCAGAATCTGAAGAGAATTGTTCCATCCACTCAAATCCGCCGCGATTATATCGAAGACACAAAATCAAGTGTTCGAATGGGTCAAGTATCGCGGATTCTTCTCCGGGAGTCTCCTGTTTTCACTGAGACTCCGAACTCACCTTTGTAGTCGATGTAAACCATATCGATCGGTTGAACTTTGAATGCCTTGCACATCAGGACTATCTGTTGTCTCGCGACTAGAACCTCTTGAGCATCTTTCGTGCGTTGCGCGCCTAGGAATGGAGGAATTCGATGAAAATTCGCTACAAATAAGCCCTAGCACGGAGAAAGCCCGTCGTCGTAACGACCTTCAGGTCCCAGCAGTCAATCTGTGCTCCCATTCGACCAACGCGGTGAGTGTAGCGGCGTACGGCATGCGCCTAAGGTCTTCGTAGAGCCGAATCTGCTGTCAGAAGAGGCTTCCGGGACAAGAAAATCCAATCTCGCGTACTCGAAAAAGATCAGCCAACTGGGAGAATTGAACTCCCGACCCCTGGTTTACAAGACCAGTGCTCTAACCCCTGAGCTAAGCTGGCGACGCCATTTCATATCGAATTTGTCTGCTTTAAATACCGCTCATCTCCGGTAACGACAATTCTTCAAATATTTGAGTCAGACAATGGCAATCTCGAATAAGATGATTTCTGGCCACTACGAAAGCTCTTTTGTGTGAGGCTGCCATGGCGACCGCGCAGCCATTGATCCTCAGAAGCCGTGAGGCGCCAATTCATTCTCAAAGATTGGATGCGTATGTGCTCCGACACTCTCCGCGCGAAGTCTCCCTTTGACAGCGCTATTGGCCGTGGCTCTCCCGTGGAGGATTCAGATCGTCGCTGAATGTAATCAAGGAACCCGGAATCATCTGACATCCTCGGAAATCGGGGAAGGAAATGCAGACGGGTAGGAAAATGTCGTCACACACCGCGAGCGTAGCAGAATACCCCGGCGAATTGTGTTTGGGGACAAGACTTGCGCTCCTCTCGTGGGGAATTTCGGACCTGAGTCTGGGAAGACAAGACAGGAAGCATTATATGGGTGGAAGACAACTCAGCGCTCACCGATGCTGGCAGTGAAATCGTCCGAACCGAATACGACAGCGTCGATTACGGCACGACTCATTTCTGATAATTCCGCCGCATGTTGCAAAATTTCTTTCAGGTTTATCAGTCCGATTGCAGATTCAATGTACAGCACGAGATTGAGGATCTTCCGTGAGTCTTCCTCGGTCTCGAGAAGACGCTTGTTCACGTGATCGACCAGCTGTAGATGGAACGAATATCCGTTAGGAGGGATCGGGGAGAAAAATGATTCGTACCCTTTGACCTTAAGTGAATCTACTGGATAAGTCGGATTCATCTGATCAACATCGGATCTTGAGCTGAGATTATCATTCAGAATCAATGATCAGGAATTCGTGAATAATGACGCTCGAATCAGAATCGGAAGTGACGAACCCAGGTCACATGCTCGGTGCTTTCGATTTTGGGCAGGTAGACCGTGCTCGGTAGTCTTTTAGAGTCGAAGATGTGGTCGAAATCGACTTCAGCCATACCGGAGTCGACGCTGTTTATCCGGACACCAACGTCCGCTCGACCAAACTCCATGGTATCGAGAGCCTGCTTGATAGCATCCCGCGCTTGGTCCTGCAAAAGTCGAATTAGAAAAAGTCGGCATGAAGGCATCGGGTATATGGATCGTGATTTTGTCTGCAGTGTTTGCTCGGGGGCATCGAGGATCAAGAAAATCGACGACTAGATGTACTAATAGTAGCAGTGCGACCTCAACTTGAGTCAATGATTGGTGCCTTACGTTGGGACTCAAGTTGAGGATAGGCTCCCCAGTTGCTCGAAAAAGACTTCTCCAGTATTCCCGTGGGGAAGACACTTTCGTATTGCCTTGTAGAACGCCAAGGTGTGGAAAGCCACTATATTTTACGGAAACTGAGAGATAAAACTCCTTAGTCGGAGGATAGTCACACGAATCCAATGGAGTGAGGAGTAAGGGAGTCTTAGACTAATCCCTTTTCTTTCGTGAAGCGGCATGTGTGGCGAATCGTGAAGAATATCACGGAACTTGGGTAGAGATTCTACGGTTAGGGAAAGCGATTCCCTCAGCTTCCGAAGAACTGTCCGCGCCCTCGCTCTAGCTCCTTTCCCTCCACGCCATATCCGAGACGATGAAAGATGAGCTCTCGATTCGAAGGAAGTTCCTTAGCGGACTCAAGTATGATTGGTTATCGAAGTACTCTTTGTGGCGATCCATTTACCGCTCGACACGCGGCCTGGTCTCGTAATCAAGGCCTTCATGGGTCAGACACAAATAGGTGACTCAAGTACGAGGTAGACTCAAGTTGAGGGGACTCAAGTGTGAGGTCGCACTGTGTGTCGGTTTTCAGAAGGTCTGATAACCGGTGTATCACCGCGTCACGACTCAGAGCCAGTCGAGATCCGGATCCGTTCCGAACACCGGAGACGGATTCGGCGCCCGAGGTGACTTCATACGACCAGAAGACACAGTTACTAAGGACGAGTTCATATGTGCGCTGGGAGAATAATTCTCAACCCGAATGAACACCGAACCACCTACAGCGAGCAATGAACATATTCATAGATGAGATAGCAGTACCCGGAGTTCCCTCTTATCTCACAACGGCGAGAAAGATCCAGAATTCTTCAGAGGATTCCAAGCCGCTCTCGGTAGTTCTCACTACCAATACGGAACCCTTCCAGTTCCAGGAGGAAGACCCCCACCAAAGCGGATCGCATGTCAGTCGGTGAAGGTCGCGTCAAACGGATGATTTGCGCGGTAGCTGTCTCATTCTCGCGTGAGCTACGATCAACCCTACCTTGGCGGTGGCTGCCACCCCGTCTTCACAGTCGAGGATGAGAGCGTCGACATCGAGATTCCGAACTTTTTCAATCTTGGCAACATCGCTCCCGGGAACATAGAGACAAGCTCGACGCGGGACAAATTTCCGAAAATATGGTTCAGCCGGTGTAGCACTGCTTTTGCATCGGAATTGCTGCCGAACGATCGGAGTCAACCGGGACCCGAATAAACGAGAAAACATTTCGCCCAAAGAGACGTTCGGGGCCTATGACGTTCTCCACAGGCGGCTCAGTCAGTCTTCGAATTCTGAATTCTTCGAACGAGAACAACACGGAAAATAAATTCAATGAACACATGCGCGGAGGAGTCCCTCTCTCCGAGACGCGGAATAACTCCGAAAGGTGGAGATCGCTCCGGATGGTCTCTCGAAATCCTCTCCGCACCTCTATTCATCCCAAGGTGACCAAGACCATGAGAGAGATGCCCTGTCCGGAGAGTTGCATCCACTTGGAAAAAACTCATTGAGCTCGATCGCGATGCGCCATCGACGCTCACCTGTCGGATCTCGATCCGGAGGATGCGTATCTAAAAATGCGTTCATCAATGTAAACAAGTCGGGCTTGTGGCGGCGTAGACCCGCATGGAAGGCTTCTGGTTCGATTCCGAGTATTTTTTCTGGACGCCCAGACGTAAACAAAACAAAGAATCGGTGCACACTGGGTTGTGATCAGGTTCGGTGACGGTGCCGTTTGTTTCATCTCGCAACGATTACCTGTTCAACATTCCGAAAGCTCACGGCCACTTGAGTCAGCAGAATTGGGAAGCGCAGCCATCGACAGCTCCCACAGCATAAAATCAACAGAAATCCGCGGACGGCGGCCCAACTTTGCGCTTGTCGCCGGAACCGCTTCAAGGAAATCTGCTCCGGTGACTGGTGACCGCGGGGAGCGTCGAGGAAAGAATCAGACTCGCAGACCAACGAGCTTCGTGGTTTCGGTGCTTCCGAGGAATTGAAATGGCGACGTCCAAACTCATGGGTAGCCGAGTTGACCAATTGGACGCGCACGAGCTCGACGAACAGCTCTTCGACCTCTTGAAAAGTCGTTTCTCGGATGCTTTCAAATACTTCGATCGAACAAACTTCCTGACGTTCTGGTCATTCGAGCTGGACGCCCTGATAAAAGCAGCCCTGCTCAGTGTTCTTCTGCTCCAGGACCGTCCGGCAACAGTTGGTCAAACTCTTCTGGATCTATCGCTGGTAGGACGTAACAGAGAACCTCTGAAGAGATGGAAAATCGTCTCCGTTTTCCTGCTCCTAACCGGAACTCAGTGGTTCCGCGAGCGTTGTTTAGCGAAAACATTGAATCTACTGCTGCGAGATCGGCAACGGGCTGAAAGATATTCTACCGTGACCGAGGGTGTTCTGAAATTGGCAGGGGTTGTGAACTTCTTCGTTTTCCTCACTCAGAACCGCTACCCGAGCATCCTGCATCGATTGTTCGGCATCAAAATGAACTACTCTCAACCACCCAATCTGCGTGAAGTGCAATACGATTCACTGTCGCGAGAATTACTGTGGACGACCGTATCAGAATTTCTCGCATTCCTCCTCCCTGTGATAAATTCAAGCAAGAGCCGGTCGATGTTCAGGAGCGCCCTCCGCAAAGTCTACGGCAAAGTCGACTCCACGATGGGCACATCGCCACACGAGCGATCGCTGGTCGACTTCAAGACGTGCGGGATCTGCTCGAAGCCCCCGACGCAACCCCACGAAATTGGCTGCAGACACGTTTACTGTTACTTCTGCATTGCGAGCAATGTCCTTTCCGACGACGATTTCGAGTGTCCGCAGTGTGGGAGGCTCGCCGGGACGATAAAGAACGTGAGACCGGCAACCGGTCTTCAGGCCGAGTCGGAAATGAGTGCCTGATGTATCTAATGTAAGGGAGTCTCGAGCCTTGAATATGTATACTAAATGATATATACACCATACACATATTTATATGAGTATCTCCGAAATCGGAAATAAACCTGCGATAGCGAACGACCGAATGAATATTAGGTTTATCAGTTCCCCATCCGTATCATACCAGCTCCCAAGGGTACGATCTAGTTCACAGGGAGTTCTTGTTTTCGACTGCTCAATTTTTTCCACGTGACCACGCACCTGGGTCCTGACCCGTGACACACCAGAAAATCTCAGAAGGCTCGTTCCCGCATCTGCAGTTACGCAACTCGCCAAAAACTTGCTCAGAACTCACCAGAAAGCCGAGGGGCGAAAGACCACTATAAAGGGATACAGTCGCCGCAGATTGTCCTGTCGGACCCGTGAGTCTCGCTTCTATCGAGAGCACTCGGTGCAATCACGTATCCTTGAACGACTCCCGTGCGACACCATTTCTTCAACTTCGTCAACTTCGTTCACAAGACCAGGCCAACCCATTTCATACAGCTCCGGGAGACGCGCGGCTTTTCGAAAATCCCGGCTGAAACAATCGATCAATGCGAGGGAGTGATCAATCGGGAGACTCGAGTGAACATGCGAATCGGCGTCGCGAGTCTTTTCCTCATTATCGTCGTTCAACAGACTCTCGCTTCAAGAGGTTACTACGGAGGGACTTACAAATACAGAGGACGAGGTTTTTCGGCTCAAGGTCACGGTCAACCAGTCTACGAAAGAACTCATAGTTACCGCAGGAGTCCAGGAGATTACAACTACGGTCGGGGAGGTCAAGTTTATCGGCCCGAATACAATAACCGTCGAAAAGAAGGATACTATTAATCCGTATCTCATCAGGAATCTCGGGATTTTTTACAATAAAAATATTTTCTCATCGAGCCTGTTTCACGGGTCATTTTGAGTCATTTTCATTTATACTGAATTGTAACTCGTAGAATACATCATATCATTCATTTAAAACTTAGTCACATGTGAGGAGAGAGAACAGTGGGGCTTCTCCAGGATCCGACGATGCTCGACTCTATCGTTATGTTGACTGCGATTCTTTTACGAAGTGTCGAGTGGGCAGCTGTCGATTTTCAGCTCTATGGGCGTGGAATCGTGCTCCGAGTCGACGAGGACGTCCAAAGGAGCTCTACATCGTTGGACACTCGCCCAACGTATCACGATTCTGCAACAGAAAGGAATAGTCTCTATAACCGTCCAAGAGCAATCCTTGATTAGAAAAGTAGTCCTTAGGACCATAGCTCCCGAGCATGTCAGAAAGATTACCTGTTGCGTGATACCGTTGAAAGTTGCGTCACCTTCTGGGAAAACACCGAGTCTGCGCAGAATTGCCATCTCGCGACTCATCGTCTCATCCCCAATCAAAACAGCGTCGTTGAGATGCGATTCATCTTGAACGTCCCCGTGGAAAGTCTTGGAATGAGCCTTGTTCAATACCTCCCTGGAAATAGCCGGAAGGCATACGATAGAATCTGGGGGATCTCCTTCTAATGGATGTGACTGCGAAATGGAAATAGTGATTCGAATTACTCGAAGGCATTCAGTTGTTGATTCGCGTTCAGTCTCTCCGCCGCGAGCTGAGAATTCCTCCGAGCGAGTTTTTGTGCTCTAACTTTTTCTTCCAAGACGCGTTTACGGAGCTCCTCGGCCAGAGCTTGGAGTTTCTTCTCGCTCTCCAAGGCATCCTTCCTGCTTGTCTCCAGCTCGGTCTCTAAACACTGGATCTTCTGCTTGAACTGCTCCTCCAGGCTGCGCCTGGGAGATTGATATTTCATACTCACTCGACGATACTTGCTCTTACGAACGCCTCTCAACCCCCGAGAATACTCGAGGGCCCCTAAGAATTCTCGAAGTATCGGCTGTCTCGGGAGGAATCTTCTAGTTTTCATGCTCTCCTCAGGATAGAGTCCTTTACCTCTTGACGCATGATAAACATTCTTGCGGCACCGCGAATCCTGTCGTTTCGTTGTTATGGGTCTTGGAACGTTCGATCTGCTGGAGGGCTTGTTGGAGCTCATTTGCGACTGGAAAATAGATTCGTTGAAGACCAGGACACTCAATATTCAAGGAATCGCATACGTTGCTCGACTTGCATCCCTCCCCCATGGAGGATGATATCCCTGGTGAGCTTCGGGGACCTAGAGCGGAAGACGGAGAACAGAAAAGAGCTAACGGTGGTTGTTGCGATTCCGCTCGGACGCCAATTCGACCTCCATGATGTCCCTGCTTTCTTTGATCTCTTTCTTTTCAAGGAGGATCTTCTGAAGATTATTTGCAAGGCTGCGGCACTGATCTTCGAAGTTCTGAGATTTCCGTTGAAGACTCAACTTATCTTTCTCATGCTCAATGACTCGTTCTCGCAAGTTTTCGATAGTGGCGTTCGATAGCTCCAAACTGAAATGGCCGAGTACCGAGGGTCAGTGGGCAAGGGGCACGGAACTGACCATGGAGCAGGCGCTCCCGACTGCGTCGATCGGAGATCACTCACAGAATTTCCGGAAAAGCATTTACTAACTCGTTGTGAAGATCCCCGATCTGGTTGTTGCTTTCGTCGAGCTTGATTTTAATTTTGGTGATTTCTCTGAGGTGAGTATCTTCTTTCTCCTCGGACTTCTGTTTCACTTCCTGGAGATTTTTGCGTAAGATTCCGTTATCTTCCTTCGTCTGCTGGGCATCTTTCACGAATTCCAAGAGTCTGCAAGGGAAATTCTCGGAGTCTCTATTCAGAAAAAGGAAAGGTTTCATGTTGCTCGCTAGAAGAGCGGCCTTCACCAACGAGATGCTGGCACCTCACTAGTGCATGCATGGCCTGGGACTTGACTCTGCACGCTATCGATTCCGGGACCACGGGTCATTTCCACTGAATTGGTTTCTACTCTGACCTTGTCGTAAGAGAATATATCCTCGTCGTGAATGTCGTGTCCGCGGGTGAAGTGTCGGGCTTGACGTCGGAGTTGTCCGAGGACCCCACTGAACTTTCGAGCTTGCTGAGAGCGTCCGCGATATGCGCCGGGATGCCACGCAGCCGCAAATCTCTGCGAGACGGACGAGATGTAGAGATCTTTCGAATCAGTCCGAGCCGATCGTTCCACAACTCTTGGGTCTAAACAGACGCAACAGAAAAATTCTTCTGAATAGGCGATTACCTCACGCCTTTCCGAGGAGACTTCACAGCGCAGACCGGCGTTGAGGACATCATTGTGGACGGGACAGAAGTCGTGGGTCTTCGACTTCCGCTTCGGTAAGTTCTCTCGAAAAATCGAATCGACGGGAACCTAGCTCGAGAGCAGCAGGCGGTGATGTCGCCGAACGCGTTGAAATGTCAAGCATCGTAAACATCGTTCGAGAGTTTTCCGCGCACATTACGACGTTTGTAAACAAAATGAGCAAGGGTCTGTCGTTTCTGGACAAGCCCGAGGACTCCATTCCAACGTCACGACGTCTTGGAGGGAACTTCGGGAGCCTTTGCGGATACGGTCGCGTCGCGCTCTCGATGCGCAGGAAAATAAATTCGCTCCAATTCCTAGTGGCTTAGGAAAGAGGATTGACCATATTTGAATCCCAAATATACTAAAGTTCCCTTCTCTGTTGACGTCGAAGGCCTTCAAAAGAAAACATGTATGTTCCCCGTGCATCATTGCACCTGACGATACCATCGGCGAATACCCCGAGAAGACCGAGAACGGTCAGTCCAGTCAGACCGATGGTCGCATGTATCAGCGAGCCCATTTCCGTCGTTGTCGCACAGAGGTATTCTGTGAAGAGGTATTCGATCGCTCAAGCTCGCTATTGACTGCGCCGAAGCTCTGAGCGAGGACTTATTCGAATCAAAACCGACCTTGCGTAGGAATAATGCCTACTCCGAAGTGGATAGCGTGAGCTGGGGCTGCCTGAGAATTCGGTTATTCCATCGACGAATCTATCCCGGTCCAGAGCGGAAGGAATACCTGGGCTGAGCGGTGGGCGGTGGAAAACGCTTGGGCGGCTGCTCGACGTGGCGTAAACCTTTAGAGATGCGCCGAAGAACTCCGTGCCATGGGGAGCTGCGATATTTGAAAGGCGTGACGCTCAGCTGTACCCTTCCGGAAGGCGAACGACCAAAAAAAACGTAACGGGGTCGGTGAGAAAACGGGAAGCCGCCGGAGTAAATCGAGCCAACGACAAGCGGCTTCCCCCTCTAATTCTACCCCCATCGTACAAAACCGGACCAGATCCGGTCCCGGCTGGCATCGAGAAAACACAGAACTTGATTCACGACGCGGCAGGTGCAGTGACTGACCGGGGAACGTACTACAATGAATGAGAAACAAGCAACCGACCCAGGGGCGTTGCCGGGAAACGCGGACCAAGAACGAGCGTATGCCTTCGTGCAGTAGAACACTCGGATGCCTGGACCGGATCGAAGAGGTAGCGCTGACGTCTGGAAAGTTCGCGATCTCCTCATTTTTTGCTTGTCCGTGTCATAGTAGAATGACTGGTTTGCTCGTTTGCTCATTCGTTCAAAATTCCATGCTAAGAATAAACTGGTTCCAACCAGTTTCTGCTGATAGTCTTCTTGATTCGTCTCGCCGGCTCTGTGAGTGCCGATTAGGAGGCAGTGGAAAGATTTCCGTCGAGCTGTTTTCCAGACATGAGGTGTCGTATAGCACCCATAGACATCTCCCTCAGGAACGCGTCCCGGCGAATCCAGTACCCGCTCGCTCGCTCTTTCCCGGCTCCACGCTGGCACGAACTCTGATTTATCGTTATTGAATTCAACACTGCCATTTTCGAGAATAATCTGCCGAGATTTCCTGCCTCCCGTCTTGTCTTCGCCCGAGGCAGGCATCTTACCCGCATGGAAGGGCTCACCACTACAATCTCTGGTTTAGGGCTCAGCCGCAGCTGGGCCGGAATGCCGGACCCCGGGAACTTCGAACGGAGTTACGAGCAGAAAAGTTGAATCCTCCCAGATCAATGTTTAACTCAATTGTTATCGAGAATCCCCACGGAGACATATCTGGGATTGCCTCCCCGTTTCTCCCATGAGACTGCGATTTGGATTGCGAGGATCATCCCGGCGAGGGCCGCGCTCGGACCTGGGAATTCGTCCCAGAAGGGCTTGGAGGAGCCGCTGGTTTCTCACCATATCACGAATCGCCCGCGACGATGCGGAGATCCATGAAATGATTGCGACATCGCGGGTCTCACGTCATCCGACTAGATCTGCACTATGATCAATTACCAAGAGGATTGCATCAGAAGGTCGTTGTTCCACGTTTCTTAGGCCGATTGTCTTTATTGTCAGACCCCTCGGGCCTCGACAGCCTTTGACGAACGAAATATCCCCGTGGATATGAACAGTGTACTCGGATCGGGAAGCTCCGCTGAGTGAAGAAGGACGAGGCCGCTTCGAACCGCCTTCATTGCGCTGGTCTGGGATCAGTGAGGTAACCTACGACTGTCCGCGTTCTCATTTCCAGAATCTCGACGGATTCACTCATCTGGCGAGTGAACTCCGTCTCTCTCTCGAACGTGGACACGCTCGAGGTGTGTCGCTGACTGGCTTTGGCCCGTTGCCGTCCGGCGATTCCGAAAAACATGTGACGTGCCGTCTGCTTCCCTTCAAACGTTCCACTAGTCGTCGATATTATCGCAGCATGATCTTATGTCTAGCAGACAGACAAGTGGCGATCAATTCGCTTATCCTCCTAGAGATACGGACTCGTTGTTTACTGGGCTCTAGATGGTCTGCGAATTCTGTACGCCGAGAGTGAACTCGCCGTCGTGACCTTGAAGTCAGATGATACTCATAGCATGCCGCGGAGGCTCCGTGCAAGCGCTTCGGTTAGGAACCCGTATCGATTCCGTCGAAGCAGGCACAAGGCATTGCAGAAGGGATTCGATGGAATCTCATTGACAGTTCTGCTGCTAAGTGAACCATTCCCCAGGGGTTAATTTTGCTTCGTCTTACGGGGGATGCCTCGCAAGAATGCGCCACCAAGGATGCGCACTCTGTGAGAGCCCTTCCGAAAGACGATTCCAAAACGTGGGACTCCGAGGGGAAGTTGCACGAACCTGATCTCAGGGATGGGACTCCCAAAACTGCGAGGGATTCTCTCAGTAGGAAAATGAGTACTTCAATTCGAAGCTTGCTTCCAGCTCCTTGAGTTAGCGGAATGGCTGAGCGGATGTTCTCGGTCCGAACCGTGAGCGATTGACGTCAGCAGGGCCAGCGAAAGAGCTCTGCGCATCAGTCGGAGATTCGAACACGTACATTCATGCCTCGTAAGGTAGTTCTTCATGACCAAGTTTCCGTACAGATATCTCACCTCATGCTATCCCAGTCTCGTATGCGAGACGATTTTTGAGTGACGTCAAGGACATTCGGGCTGTTACCATGAGGAATACCCGGCCTCATTATGCGGCCAGACGAGAAACCTCCTCTATGCTTTCGGAGAGAGCCACGTTGAGAGATGACGTTATTATCAGCCGAGTCCGCGTTATCGTTCGATGGACAGATCGTTCTAGTTAAGCGAGCGTGTTTATCGGCGCTACCCCTTCTGCGTTTCCTCATTAAGGACACCTTTGTGACGACACCGAGTCGACGTACCTTTCTTTGACTGGGAACCGCTACGGGGATAGCGGATCGGTGGCTCGGAACCGGTTCTATGCGGAGCTGAGCCCAACGCGGGGTTACTCAAGCCCAGAGGCTCGGCGCTCACTCTGTCTCGAGCGTAGTGGGCAGTTCGTTTGTACATGTGTCAGCCCGCCTATCTGTAAGTCAGTCAGTCTGCCTGCCTGCCTGCCAGACATTCAGTCAGTCAGTCGACCGGCGAATTCGTCTGTCAGTCTGACCGCGTGTTTGTCCCGTGCGTGTTAGAGTCTCTCTCCACTCGAGAAGAACTCCGTGTGGATTGTTTGCGTTGGATCGACTCGGTTGCAAGCTCTCTTTCCTGAAACTGGCATTTCTCTTAGCGCCAAGAATCCTCTCCACAGCGACCGGCGAAAAACAGCGCAGTGATCACAAGATTGCCAGATGAAACCGTGAATCCGTAAAGTTGACTTCGAACCTGCTCTCGAACGTCAGCGAAGCATTGCTGTCGTCCAAGGCACGACAGAGCTCAGCCCATCTGTTTCTCCTGTTCTTCCTCTTCCTTCATCTTCTTCTTCCTCCCTGCTCCTCCTGTCACTTCTGCTACGTTAACTCGACGAGTTCCACAAAGTCAGACTTCCACCGACCGAGGAATGATCACCACGAGAACCACTCGCCGACTTGTGGGAGAGCTCTTGAGGACTGGCAATGTGAGTATTGTCCTCGCTCGGTCGGGTTTCGAATAATCAGGCGAACTTTAGAATATCGATTCGGAAATGTTCAACCGATAGATTTTGCGAGACACTACGGGATTCTTGACTTGAGACTCTTCGAGGCTCCACAGGGTTCCTGTGATTCAATGATATTTTGCCCACACGGCAGAGGGAAGATAGATGGCCAGCGAGACTCCAGCGGGAGCCCGCGCCCCCTTTTGGCGCTCAAAGGTCGGCTTTAACGGTTCACCGCAACGAGAGAACCTTGGCCTTTTATTAGGCTATGCGCAGACTTCATGTGTTTCGGAGAATCAGCAGCTCATCGTCTACGCTTGAGCGTAGTTCTCGCTCATTCTCTCGAGCCCTCGCTCTTCGATGTATCGCTCTCCACTTAGATTCGATTCTGAACCTGACTCGATTCCGCCGGTGCACAAGTAAGTGTACTGATGCGACTGCTCCGCAAGACTTCGAGATCAAGACTGCGTCCTCTCCCCATATGATCCTTGAAACATATGGTCGGATGATTGATGATTCGAATTCGTCCTCACCTCTATGAGGGGCGTTTATCACCGCGAAGGCGAGCTCTCGATTAGTCGGGTGCGACTCGATCTCCAGCTCCTTATACCTTATACCCGGTCGGGATGTCATCTCGATGATACTCCCTGACACCCGGTGTGGACTCCAAGAGGTGCCCGACGATGAGCCACGGCCAGTGTCATCAGGATGACTGCATTCTATTTTGTGCTTCTCATCTGCTGGTCTTTTCGGCTGACTGTGCGATATGCCCTGATGAAAGGGTGATTCTATCAGCCAGACGGTATGCGATAATCTTGACATCCAGGGATCAAATGACAAAAATCTAGGTTACGCTAAGCAAATGTTGATAAGCATCTTGAAGCCTCTCCGATTCTGAAGACAATGTCATTCCTTCACGCGCGAATATATCCGGTCCGAGTTTGCCCCTCAATTTCATTTCTGGACCGGTCCCGCGCAAAAAATTATGCAATCATCGTTGCCATTAGCAACCTCTCGAGTGTGATCGAGTGCACCGCTGCGTCTGACACTACTGCGCGTATCTTCATTATCTCTGCATGGATCTAAACGCCTACATTATTGTCATCGATAAAGCTTCCTCAATCGCGGAGTGCGACATTTTCCTTATCCCCTTAACAGTCACACAAGCCTCGAATATTCGAGATAAGATTAGATCGTTATCGGGAGATGTGTCAGCGATGCAGTGAATCTCATCGCGAAGGCATCAAATAGGCGCGCATCCCAGAGGAATAATGGCAAGATAAAATTGTTCTCATCGCTTGCCGTCATAGCGCGTAGTGGGATGTAGATCGTGGCTAGGAGGAGCTACAATATTCGAGTTCGTGTTTTCTTCTGGATTCGAGCGTCTTAGGTGATTTGGAGGATCGAGGATGAGGGGCATTGGAAAAAATTTTGAATACACTCATCGAGAGCATATCTCCAAGATCGGGTCTAGTGCGCTTGTTGTCATCCTGAAGAAGCGCGACGTCACTGCTATCGTCAAGGGAATCCCCGGCCGATACTCCGCGTGCCGCGCCGTTAGGAATTCCGCTCGACGTCACAGACCTTGGCATCGCACCATGAGAGGGAATGCGTTATCGATAAGCAGCGCATCCGTGCCCTGCAGGAATTCGCGGTACTCAGCACTCACTCGAAGAGTCTCCTAATCCTCGATCTTCGTCCCATCATAACCAATTATGACTCATGACGAATGAGGAGTTTTGAAGGACTCGCAATCGGATCTATGGTGGTCTGATATGGCAGCAAGACCGTATCCCCCGTGTAGGTCACGCGCAGTTCACCGCAGAGCCCCCACACGCCCGATTTCTCTGGCGGAAGAACCTAATAAAGAGAAGAAAACGACACGTGCTTCAGCTAGAAGGTCTAACGCAGATCCAGCTGATACACTGGAGTTTGTTAGCGCTAGGTTCAGGAGTCCACAAGCGACTCATAGATAGAACATCGTCAAATAGTTCGAGAAGCGTCGTCATATCACAGAAAGTTAAAAATAGAAGAACAAAAAAAAAGAACTGAGGCAGCTCCGCCTGATAGATGTGAATCCGTCAAACGCTGCTAGTAAACGGAGGAGGAGGAGGAGTTTGATTCAATTTAATTTTTTCAGTTGCGCTGCTTGTCTTGGACTCCTCAGGGGGAAGTCAAACGAGAGATCGCTCGACCGTCTCACACATTCGTTGTGAGTATTCGGAGGGGGCAAGGGCATCTACTGATCAAATGAAGGTTTTGAAGATTCCCTAGCAATCGACAGCTCTCTATCCTCGATCCTAACGAATCTTATCCTGCAGCACGATGACCTCGATATTGAGATCCAGCCACCCCATCTCAGACAGAAGAAACCAGAGAGCGCAGCTCTACAATTCGGTAAGCACTTCGCTGATCACATGTTCGAAAGCTACTGGACGCGAGATTCGGGCTGGAGCCAGCCGAAGATTTGCCCCGTACATGCACTCCAGATGCACCCGGCCGCCAAGGTGAGTATCTTTCCTGGACATAGGCGCATCGGAAGGCGCTTCACTATTATTGTTCAGCAAAAATTCGAGCCACCAAGGCGAAACATCCTATTCAGACGTCTAATTTCAGGTACTTCATTACGCCCAAGAATTGTTCGAAGGCATGAAAGCCTTTCGAGGACAAGATGGACGGGTCCGACTTTTCCGACCGGAACTGAACATGGAAAGACTCCTTAACTCTGCTGAACGCCTTGGCCTTCCCGTGAGTTCACCTCCTTCTATTCTGGTGCATTCGATCGCGAGAGACCTAAGAATCCCCCTGATTCGATTCTCGAAGTCGCTAAGAGACGACCACGTACGACAAACAATCTGCTCAGTGCATTATTTTCGGTGGTTTTCAGACCTTCGATCCACAAGAGTTCCTCAAGTGCCTCATGCGGCTCGTGGAGATCGATCGCGACTGGGTTCCCAGTACGCCCATGAGCTCACTGTACATACGTCCGACGTTCTTCGGCGTCGAACCGACGCTCGGCGTTGCACGCTCGTCCGAAGCTTTCCTCTATGTGATCACGGGACCAGTCGGAGCTTATTATGCGACCGGCGTTAAACCCGTCAGTCTCCTCGCCGATCCTCAGTACGTGAGAGCATGGCCGGGTGGCACAGGGGACAAGAAGCTCGGATGCAATTATGCACCCACGCTCGCAGTGCAGAAGGAAGCCGATTCGCTCGGTCTCCAACAGGTTCTGTGGCTTTTTGGTCCCGATCAGCAGATCACCGAAGTCGGCGCGATGAACATCTTTGTTTTCCTCCGGAGCAAAGACGGTGAGCCAGAGCTCGTGACTCCGCCCCTGAGTGGAATCATTCTCCCGGGAATCGTACGGAGAAGCGTTTTGGATATGACTCGAGACTGGAATCTGTTCAAAGTGAGTGCTCGATTTTCCATAAGCGGTCGCTGAACGGGATTGCCGCGAGTCTCATGGGCGGTTCCAGTCACGGATTTATTGGAATTAGATCATATATTCACCCATAGGTCTCTGAACGACCCATATGCATGAGCGAGTTGCGAGAAGCTCTCGACGAAGGTCGAGTCATGGAAATGTTCGGCTGTGGAACAGCATGCAGCATTTCGCCTATCGGCCGAATTTATCACCGACAAAACGGTCACGCTGACGATCTTTTGATACCGACCATGCAAAGCGAATGGCAGCTTCACGCGAGGATCATGGAAACCCTCACGAACATTCAGGTACACCTGAGCGCTTCGTAGGTGCTCGATCTCAATCAGAGTTCGGAGCGAGAATCCGAGTATCGTGCGATAAGAGGATGCTCGAGGAAGAACGTAGACATTATCTCACCAGAGGCTGCTCTTTCAGTACGGTGTTGTGGATCACCCGTGGTCACTCGAAATCGACTGAGAACCGGGCCCGAAGTGAACGCACGGACCCCTGTACAAACTGTAAATAAGACACCGGAGGAAATCCTCAATGTAACTTTGTCCCCTGTTCGTACTATAGTGAGCTGATCCCCAGAAATCATGTACCTATTTTATACTTTTTTTTTTACCAAAAAAACAACACTGTTGTCCGGCACTAGATGAGTGGACCCCAGGACAACTGTGAAGCCATACGAGTCAATTATACATTTACGATGACATGTCTCCTTCGTCGAAGGGCTTTGATTTTCGGATGAGCCGTTGGCTCTCACCACCCCTCCCGAGTCGATTCGACGGCCGGTCAATTATCTGTGTACTAATTGAAATTATATTTATTTGACACCAGATGAAATTAATAAAGAGTTGTGGATGATTCAAGAACCGTGGCACAAAAATTCAGAACGAGGGGGACCGAGCCGAAGCAGTGCCCGCGGTAGACAAAAGTCAGCTCTATGTCAGCTCTCTCGGCTGCAGGCAATAATGCTGCTCGACCATCAACCTCCTGGCTCGAAGCTCGTCGTCCTTATTGCTCATGACTTGAATATCCAGAATGAAGTTCCTCAGAGGAGATGCTCCCATGATGAGCGTCACAGTCAGAGCAGACCCAGCGTCAACCTCAAGACTGGGACTCGGGTCTAGCCGGGACTCCCGGCTTCTCTACGCTCCTGACGGAGGAAAGTCGACCCTTGCTCGTGAGGATGTTCTCACAGGAAATCACTCAGATGAGACTGCCTTCGGATTGGGCCGCATCGACATGAAACCGAAAGAATCTACATGACGAAGCCTGACGGTTGCAAGATCATATGTGAGTCACGAACTCCGATTCATGACCACTGAGAATGTCTGCGGATCCAGGGCATGGCATTCCGACCTGCAGGCATTGGCCGATTCCCATTGCGCTATGAACCGCAGTCGATCCTCCCTAGGAGATCCATCGAAAATCTCTCAAACCAGACGGCATCGCGATTCTCCTTCTGATGAGAGACTGGACCATGAGCTCTTCCAATGCCTGAACTTCGGAGATTGGATCGGCTGAGCTCATCTGAAAAAACATAGTCCGCCGCGGAAAAGGGAAGAAGATCAACCTCCCTCCCCTCCTCCGCATTTTTACTAAAATCGCCCTCGAAATCGGCCCCGTTATCGCGACTGACCAAGAAGTAAAGCTCAATGGGGTGCTTCTCGACAAGGGTTGCAGTTCGGAGGAGAGGGGCTCGACAGAGCTTGCTGGGGTGGGTTTTTCACGCTCGAGTGTTAAGACCGAGAATCCGGCTAAATCAATGGAGCTTCGAGGGTCTCGCTGAGAGTTTCCGAAAGGGCAGGGCGTTCATGAGGCCGAGAATCTCGAGAAACTTCACAGGTTTTTACTTCTCTCATGAAACGCTGCGATCGCGTATCCTTTCTCAGGCTCTGCTGCTCCTATGGTATCCCCCATGGCTTGATCGGACCTCTATCCGTGCCGACACGTCTATACTGAAAAGTATGTCGAACATAAATACAGATTCCGAGGCGGATCGGACTCGCTGAGGCTGAGAACTATAGAGCATCAATTCTCCCTCTCTAGCGGCCTCCTCCAGATGAGTGGCGCTAGGCACGAATCGTCGCATCCCCTATCTAATGCTGCGTTCTTCAATGAGGAGCTCTCGGCTACCTCATGAGGAAAATTCGGAAACCGAGTTCCGAGGCCGGATCCTCGAGACTGGGATCAGATTCAGTTTCATCCGCACTGACTCCTTTCCCTTCAGGATATTCTCCTTGATGTTCCCCTTGACGATGAGAGCAACCCAATTTAGCAAGCCCGAAGACCACTCTTCCGCGAAGGAGTGTTGTCAGACTCTCTGGACGCTTGGCTTGCGCTCCGGAGAGACGCTGGGCTCGAGAGGCTTCTAGATCGTCGACAAAATCTTCGATTTTCAGGCAAGCTCCTGTGAGTGCTCCGCTCGGCTTCGCTCGCAGGTTCATGAAGTTCGCCGAAGAGCCCCAGAGCATCAGTCACAGCTTCATACCATTCCGGAAACTACGGCACACATGATGGTATTCCAGGAGAGACTCATTCAAAGAGGGGATATCACATCAATGGGAATCCTTCCCGATAGTTTTTTTAAGAATCGTCGGCTCATTTCGTCGAGTGCACTTTATTTCACGACGGAGGTCGCTGCGGAATGTCCGCGGTAGATAGAACGGCTGAGCAGTACGCCACGATCGACTTCGGTCCGTGAAGTCGAATCCATAAGATACAATTTCCGACTGTTGGGAATAGCTTTCGAAAACCTCGGCAGAAAGAGCAATATTTCGGCGGGGAAGGCCTTTCTCGTGAGACAGCGCGAGCATGAGGGATGCTCTCGCGTCGACTCTCAATCCATCCGAATTCACGGCAATCGAAGCAAGCCTCGTTTCACGGGTTTACGACTCAAATCGTTATTTCGAAGGCGCGGAATTGGAAGACCAACTGATGATTTCGATCGCGTCGTTTCGCGGAAATCAGGCACGGCGGCCTAGACCGGCTTTCTTCTCACGATGTAGATCGAAGCGATCTGACTGAGAAGCGGCAGACTGCATCAGAGGTTCTGTGGGGCGATCACTAACGTAACCTTCTGATCGGTGATCCGTGCGTTAAGATCAGTTGCGCAAGGCGTCGCTGGAGGAGAAGAAAGAAGAGACACTCTTGGGGAAAGAACGAAAAACAGCGTAACACGTGATTCGGCCAAAAAATCCCGTTGAATGAGCTCATACGAAGAGACCGCGCCACCGAGGCGCTCGTGGAAGAGATGTGTCAAAGAGCCTTCGTTCCGTGTTTGAGCTTTCGGGTGGGGCTGGAGTTGAGTGCAGAGCTCTTCGAGGAAAGGTCTACTTCGACTTCCATTCTCGGCTGCTCGGAGAGAGAGAGACACGAAGTAGAAAAGGCGAAAACCCTTCTTCGCTCACCACAGGTTAGATTTAGCTCACTACGATATCTCGAAAGATGCCGCATTTCCTCCAGGGGTTCACCTGAATTGTGCGTCGAGTCTCCGAAAGTTCGTCTTGGAGCTCGTCTTTGATCTAGACCTCGCGGATCTGTTTCGTTCGATCACGATCTTTCTCCTCTTTCGTTTCGAGTATTCGCTCCAAATGTGTCAGAAGTTGAGATTCGGAAAATGCGGTTCGGATTCGGAGTTCCAAGGTTCTCCGAAGCCAATGAAAAATATTTCCCGGATAAATCCGGAGACCTATATACTCTATCCATCGACATGAATCTTTCCCTTCAGTCGGAGTCCGACTGTCAGACAATAATGCCATTATCGAGCCCACGGGCATTCGAGACTCCTGCCGAGGCTTCATTCCGTTCTGGAAAGCTCTGACGGAAAATCACATTCCGCGGCTACGGAATTCTGGTGCGGTGAATTTTTGGGCTCGGAATCTCAGACAGAGGCGAGGTGTAGTTAGCATCATCAAAGGCGTCGTAGCGCGAAGGTATTTGAAATCAGATGAAATTCCGCGCGCGCTCGGCGGATAGCTATGTCGGTTCGTCGAGCGAGCGGGCGGTCGCTCGGACGATCGGTTGCTAGCTACCTCGCTTGCTCGCTCAGCTTCGTTTCTTGGCGAGGTTCGTGATGAGGTCCTAGTGGTGGTGGCCTCTCTTTCGTTCTGGATGTTTTCTGTGGGGTGTTTTCTTCTTCTCGTAGATCCGCTCTTCTCTCAGCGCCGAAAATAGTTTCGCCTTCACCAGCGAGTTTTCTGCTGTCCGAAGTGTTCGGCCAACGTCGTCTTCTGGTTTCAGCCTCTCTCTCTCACTCGCTAGCTAGCTTACTTCAGTGAGTCAGTGGTTGTTCCATAAGTAGAAGAACGCAGAAGTTTGGTGAGGGAAGTGAAGTCAGAATCGCGAGCTATGCAGCTGCTGGAAGGGGCCCACTCTCGCTTCTTCGTCTTCGTTTTTTCGTCTTTCTGGTCTGAGAAGCTACGAACAGCTCAGAGAGGTTTCTGAAGTTCCGACTGAATATTTTTTTTCTCCTGGACCCTCCGATTCGGAGGCGAAAAAAGTTGGCGATTCGCTGAATTCTTTTCGGTTTCGAGTGGGTCCAGCGATGACTTTCATCGAGCGCATGTTGGAGGAAACCTCAACCCAAGCCACTTCGGAATGTGGGTCACTCCGTATACAGAGAACCTTGCTGCCGCCGACCGTCGTATCAAAATGAAATTTACCCGTCATCACATTCCCCTCATTCGAAGCCAAATGAGATCGACCCTATTAACCTATGACGACACTGTCTTGGAAGTCTGCGAAGAGCAGTTCATGCGCGAGAGATTGAGCTTCTCGTAGGATTCGGGAAACATTGATCAGCGACAGACTCAAGAAACTAATGCCGGACCGTCAAGTTCTTCCCCCGAGAGGAACGAACTTGAAATATTCTACGGCGGGGAGGTCAATAGAATTCCGCTCTATTCCGAGTGGAGCCGACGATTGGTGTCCTAGAGTATCCTCCCAAACGACAGTTTTTCTGGGGGCAGTCTTATCATGAGACACAAACCATATTTTTCGATGGCTCAGCTCGACGACCCGAATGGTATGATGGGCAGGGGTGGTCGCCGGCGGGGGAGGGGGGGGGGCTATGGCCCCCTTCCGGATGATCCCTCCGCAACGCTGTGGTGCAAGAGCGGAGCGCCATATTGCACTCCAGCCCTATGCGAAGACCCGATCCGGCATCCCTGAAAAAGATCCTGCGTATGCCAGGGTGGACGAAGGGTGGATGGAATTCTGCGAATAGCTTGGAATGTTTGCTTCAGCCCAATGCTCGAGAACATTTGCTGAGAATAGCCGTGCTGAACACAATCAATCATTGCCCAAACTGCTAGAATGATCGAAAAATCTGGAGGTATAGGAGGTCCGGTTCCGATGCCTCAACCCCCAACAGCTCAGAATGATGTGCTGACGACCATGAGGTTTCACCCAGCCTTTCGAAATCCATCAGTCATTGGCTGCGAATCAACATCTGTCGATCGATTCTAGTTCTACAGCCTGGAAGTACAGCTGGAGATCTCCGGACGAGTGTATCGAGCAAGATGTCACAAGCTCAGGTCCGGATTGCGCGAGAGTCTCGATCTAGTTTCCGAATTCTTCTTGAGCTCATCGTTACGGCGGAGATCGGGATTGTGGTCGGGTCCACATCGGGGGCGGATCAGGGGGAGGGGGTGGAGCAATGTGGGGAATTACGAGAAGGCGGCCCGTTCATTCGTTTCCAGACTGGCTATTGATAGATCTCATGGTCTCTCTCGACTCTTGGGCGAATACATTATATATATTCGCTCCGGAGTATGACGCGAGACCGAGTTTCTCCATGCAAAAAGAGGCAATCGTTTAATTGAGACTCCTTCCGTCACAAGAGTTTCCGAAACTATATTAGAGGGTCGCAAGCTTCGCTTAGCGGCAAAACGCGACTGTGCTGCCTCTCAGAATGCGAGTATAGTTATTCCTAAAGGTCTTGAGAGATACTTTATGCATTCTCCCGGTATCGGAGAGCGTGAGGGATGTCGCCAGTTCAGTGGACTCGACGATTTGAACACCGGTTCCTGCCAAACATTGAGGACAGTTGAGATATTCGCAGCTACTGTCCGTCATAAGGATTTGCAAGATGAGTTTCCGAGAAGGAAGCTGATGTTTATGTCTCGCCTAGCTCAGGTATCGAAACAGGTCCTCCTTACTTCCCGTCGCGCATTCGATTGATAGTAACGTGGAAGGAGGGGTTTCAGTTGGGGAAGAACCAGGTTGGAAGGTTCCTGCATCTTGAATCCCCAAGTATCCCGACAGAATCGGCATCGATGGCTTCTGATCATGCTACTGGGCAGCCTGGGTACCTTGTGACGAGACCCTTTCGGTGCTTCTCCGGAATCTCTCTCCGCGATCCCCTGCGGACCCCATCGCGCTGCAGCGAGCGCGAACGAATCGTATGCATACCGGGTCCGGATACGGTCGGGATGCCGTCCTCGGAACTAGAGTGTGGACCCCGTCGGATAAGAGAGGAGCTTCACTGACGCAGTGAACCCGGCAGACTCACTCTTATACATATCTACATGCTCATTGGCTATTCTCCCTCGGAGCGGCGAGGCGCCGATCAGGCCCTTGGTCCATATAGTGCAATGCGATGAGGCCGAAAGATAGAGTACGAGCCTTCAAGAACAGAGCAGTCTTCAGCGGGTGAATTCGGCTGCAGAACCGGCTGACAGAGGGGTCTAAGGAATCGGTCGGAACGTGCAGGAAGCTCTGGAAACTTTGCTCTGGATCTCCAACGTCGTCGGAGCCTTGAAACCTTGAAAGGCGACGAGTTTTTTCGATCACAGATCCGCAGTGGCATTCGTGGCTGCATAAACCGTTCCCCGATGTCAGAAAAGCATCGGTCAGGGAACTTCTCGGAAAAACTCTGATTTAAAAAAAAAGCCGATATCGGTCCGAGGAATAATTTCGGAAGTACTTTTTCAATTCCCGAATGACCTCGAATGCTCGAAACCAGCATCCCGGAGCCTGCCACGCTGGAATTTCGATCTCTAGAATAGAATTTCGATGATTTCCCAACGATTAGACCCGAGGGCTCTTCGTTCATCGATATTATTTGATGGACAGTCTCTTCCGCAGAGGTTGGCGTCGGAACCCTGAAGGAGGCGATAGGCTCCTCCCCAGAACGGGCTCTCGAAAAATAGCTCTATCGCCGGGAATATCGGCGAAGCTCTCCCCATTGACATGGATACCGGCGGATGCTCCTGAGCAGCTCGAGTTCCGAAGGGAGAGGAGGCGACACGCTCGGCACGGTATACATGCTCCGGATCCCAAATGACATGCAGGAATGGTGTATGTATGTGCTTCGAGCATTCATTCATGTGCTTACTAGATGGAGCTATTCATGAAGCATGGGATGTCGACGAAGATGATTTTCCATGCATTCTGCCGGTGCCCGCTCTCTCCTTGATTTCGAATAATCACACGATTTTGACGTCCATTCTGCTCATTGTCAAGTCTCACCGCCCTCTGTGACGAGTGAGAAAGGTTTCCTCTCGGCAGGTAGAATCATAACGAATGGGTGAGATTTTCGGAGAGTTCTGGCCTGAGCAGCGCTCCATCCTCGCTCTCGTGGGATTCATCGATTCGCCGTGTATATCGTCTCTCATGCTCCGGTGTCCCAACACACATACATATATCGTAGACGGCTAGCGAGAGCTAACTCAGCGAAGTGAACTTCGGAAGCGTGACATCGCTTGGCTAACCAAACTCGATTCGGGGACGGACGGTTCGGAGGGCAGATAGCTTGCTCCGCGCACAAAGCGACTCGAATGCGAGGCTGCACGGGTACTAAGCCGAGCGTATTCCTTCTCCCCTTCTTCGACGCGTTGTGTCCGGGATCTCAGCGGATACGATGGTCCGCGGTGAATGTTCCCGTGGAAAAAGGGAGCTTCAGACTTCAGTGCACTCTTTCCGATGTTGGATTTTGTCCTGCTCTGATGTCTGGAGTAGTGGCTCCCAAAATTCCCTTCTCGTTGAACCTTGCTTGGCCCTCTCTCCATAGGTAGAACCCCTATAGCTCTCTCTTATTCAAATGATATGTGCAGAGCCCCAGAACGATTTCCTGCTGGACGGAATTCATTGTGAAGACACACGGGCCTAGCGGGATGAAAAAGCTATGCAGGAAAAATAACGGAATAGCAAGGTATAAACCACGATTGGGGCCGAAATCAAGTCATATAATCGATGCGACCCACGAAAATCCGAGCAAGGGACCCTGCAGGATTGTCGATGGAAGCCCCTCCGGGAACCTCTGGCCCAGAGTCACGACTACGACAAAAATGAACAGCGTAACTTCCTTGGTCACTGAACCCCGACTCCGACTATCACCCCAATCCTCTCCGAACCCAGCAGAGGGCGCGTGTTGGAGAATTCCGAACTAAAGTAATTCTTCTCGTTTGGCCGCTGTGGCCTCCTTTTTCCATCCACCCCTAACTCCATGCACTCCTCCTCTCCCGGGCTCTCACTACCCCATCTCGGAGAAGACGATGACTCCAGGGTCCCCCGCTATCCGAGTCATAAACCCTTGTACTCCACCCCCGACCCCTCGCCGCCGCCGCGGCTGCCGCCGTCGTCATCGCCGGAGTCTCGGGCCCACACCCCGATGGTTGCTCATTCCCCTCAGGCTTTCCAGCTCCACCCAAAGATGGATGTTCCTACGGAGCCAGTCAGCTTGCGCGAAAGAGAACGCTGCCTCCCTCACAAGAAGTAGAATCATCGGCGTACCCCGATGCGGCTTGCCTCTTGTCGTGGTGCTGTTCTCCAGTTTGACTAGGTGCCTCCTCTTCTCGGTCGCGTCGCTGCCGGACCAACTTTCCTTCCCCAACCTTTTTCTCCGGGGTTTTTCTGCCCTAGATATCTGCGGCGAAACCATCGTCTACGTCTTTGCCGCGACGACGAACGCTGCCAGCGCTACAATTTCGGCTGTGACCGCCGCTTAGGCCGTCGTCGTCGTCGTCTAGGTGTTCGAGGCCACCGCCAGCGCTAACGCCGCTGCGGCTGTCTGGATGGCGCCCCACGCCTACGGGAGAGGTTGGAGCGAGGAGTGAATAGGAGCCGCCGCCGCCGCCGCCGCCGCTGCACCAACAGCAATCGCAGTCGCCGCGGCGGCGGCGGCAAGTGCAGGCCCCCCCATTCCAGCCAGTCAGCTAGATAGCAGCCGAATCGGACGAACGCGCGGACGGACGGACTGACGGATAGAAAGACAGACAGACAGACGGACGGACGGACAACAGTAACAGCGGCTTCCATCCATAGAGTCAGTACCTAGCTGCCGGCCGCCGCCGCCGCCGCTGCCACTGAAGCTCTCACGACCGATTTCGTAACTGTGAGTGGAGCCGCTATATTCGCATGGCGCTGTACTCGGGGATCTCCTCGGCGCGGTGATAGTGGTGGTTGTTGGTCGTCGTCGTCGGTCGGTCGCCTTGAAAACAAGATGGCGGCCCGTTCGAGGCGTCCACTCATTTCACTAGCTGCTTTCTGCAGCCGCGGCTTCCTTCCACCCAGCGCGGCGAGCGCACACCCATGCGCACACATCCACGCACTCGCACACGCACACAATACGAACGAAAGGCAAGCAGGCTGCCGCCGTAGCCGCCGCCGCTACCGCCGCCGCAGCTATCCAACCAAGCAGCCATCGAGCAGAACACGGGTGGAAGGAAGGAAAGCTGGTAGGCAGGCAGGCAGGCAGGCAGACAAGCAGTCAGTCCGTCGATCCAGGAGTGAGTGAGCGAGTGAGGCAGTCAGCCAGTCAGACTACTCTCCCATCATCACAACAGTGGATATCTTTCTGTACGTTTTCGGTTTATCGTGTCGGAAGTGTTGTTGTGACTAGTGCTCGGAGATACGACTCTTGGATACTGCTGCACGTGAAGCCGTTCAACTCGCTCCCGATATATAGGCCTGGACGGAAACGGCGACGAAATGATCGGTAGGCGCCAGGAGCACCACCACCTGGATCGGTGGCGCTTTACGGCAGAATCAGGACCGATCCTACACTCGAAGTGCAAGACGCGCGATCAGTGCGTCGCGATTCGCGAGTCTCCGAACGGCATCGATGAGACAAAGTTGTGCATACTATGCAGGTCAGTCTTTGGGCATGGAAGTTAGTTCAGCGTTAGTCGAGGAACTTGGAGCAGGCGTGAGGTGTCACAGCCGCACGCGGTCTCGAATCTCGACGATTCGGCGTGCGTCTCTGTCGTCCGTCTGACGGCGTTCCGGGGCCTGTTGTCTCGGATGATTTCGTCGATCGCTGGAAGTTCCTCGAGGACGGTGGGGGAGCACCCCAACGGCGACCGATGCGCTCGAAGTCGCTCGTATCGAGTTTCAGACCTGAAGCCATGAAACGAATGCTTTCGGAAAGCTCGGCGCTTTCCTCTCCGATCTTCTCCAGAGAACCGTTGCTCTTTGGAAGTGGAAGTGCGCGGATCCTTCCGGCGCCAGCGTTCTTATTGGCCGAGTGTGGCAGCGCTGTCAATGGCGAAGCTTGTGCTCGGCGAGTGTTTCTCTTTGGAATTCCCCCGCGGCTTCGTCGTGCCTTGGAACCTGGTTTCGTTCGTGCGTTCCTTTTGACACAGAAACCGAATGCGGTTCGCTGAAAGTGAAAGGCACTGTGTGTCTGAGTTTGTGCCTCCCGTGGTTGATCGGATGGATTGGACGGACGACATGGACAGATGGCAGCTGGATTGGCGGAGCAGAAAAAGTCAGACGCTAGCCGGGGGCCCCACGAGTCGCAGACGGAGAACCTGGAAGGCGTCGTATGAGCCAGTCAGCCAGCATCCCTACCGCCACAATAACGTTCTCTCTTCCTACGTAGCCGAGTGACGGCGTTGCGCTAGTCAGAAGATTCAAGTTTGAGACTTTCGGCGATTCTCCGGTTCGGCGATACTACTGTTCGCTCCTTTTGTTCTCCATTGCCTCCGTTCGTTTGTTGACGCGCATCCGGATGGTTTCCATCACTACATCCTGAAATGTTTGTCGTGCGTTCCCAATCCCTCGAGAGGGGCGACGCTGTCGACTTCTTATGTTTTCCCCGTTCCAAGTTCTCTGGAGATGCTCCCGGCGCCCCGAGAGAAACTGGGGATACCGTCACATCCCCTTTGCTCGATCGATTTCGGACCCGCTTCGGAAATCCATCTCCCGATCGATCTGACAGCTCAGGATTAGAAATGATCCATCGAACAGTGATGATGATGCGAGATGTCCATCAATTATTGAGGAGCTCAAAATGTTCGAATCCAGATCGGAACTTGAAATGAAGCTCCGGACGATGAAAACCACTCGTGACCGGGATCGGGGTGCTTCGGCCTTCGGAGAAGCCAGCTTCCGAGACCTCCGGAGTTTTGGATTCTCGGGATGTCGCTCGCTTGTTTTCGTTGGCGAGGATCACTTGAGAGATCAGAAGTGAGAGGGATTTCGCCGAGAAAACCGAATGCGCATCTCTTTCAACATGATGTCGTTGAGCGGAAAACTCGTCGGAAGGACCCGTTATGGAGAAATGGCGCTCCCATCAAGTGAATAACTCTTCTTTTTGTCCTCACCCGTCATAGGTACATCTATACCCTCCAACTGCCGTCTCACCCCGATATGACGTTCGCATGGAACTGTTTACGGATAGAGCACGCAAATGGCTTCGGCGTCGATTTCAACCCATTGGACGCCCTGAAGCTGGTCACGGAAAAAATTACGTCCCCAAAGTCGCGATCGCTGATGCGTGGCGAGAGGCTCGTGAGGGTCTGGATTTGCCCGAGGTGAAAACGCCGGAGAGTCACAAGTTCGATTGGACTTTCACTACAAGTTATAAAGGAACCTTATTCGGCAAGGAGGGAGCTCAATTGAAGGTGAGTGCAGAACATCAGAGATTTCCAAGCTGGCCAAGGAGGCGATCTAGGGACTCATGAAATATATCCTGTCTCTCCTCGAATGGCTTTGAGATTATGTCGAGAGGAGGCTTTTCCAGCTGCTTAGCCGAGCGGTTTCCTCCTCGCGAGCTTCGGGAGAAACCCCCCACCCTCCTTCGTGTTGTGTGTAGCCGGGCGTCTACCGGAAATACTCTATCCCAGTAGGAGGATGCTCGGAGCTCTCAGCTTATATGGGTCCCGTCATTCCACAGGAAACCGAAACCACTGAGCGAATAGACCTGAGAAAGCTCACATCGGAGGAGCCGATTCTCTTCTACCAGGATATTTGTTTATTCGAGGATGAATTGTCAGACCACGGAGTCGCGAAACTCACTGTCAAAGTTCGCGTTATGAGGAATAATTTTTTCCTTCTTCTCCGGTTCTTTCTGAGAGTCGACAAGGTACTGATCCGGATGAACGACACGAGGATCTACTGGGAGACGGGACAATCGTACCTCCTACGTGAATACTGCGAGAGAGAGCTCAAAGATACGAAGAATCTCGATGTGAGTTTTCTCACAGCTTCCAGGGCGCTCTCCCCCCGGCCCGCCGGTAACTTCGGAGCTTCCGAAGCTTTTGACGAGGATTGGTCTAATAAACGCTTTCTCCGTAATTTTGCAGCTTCCAACGGCTGTCATCACTGATCCTGTAGCCTTGAGTAAACACCTGCCCGTGATCTCGGAACAATTCCATAGACTAGAAATTCCTGAACTGAACCAGTGAGAAACACCCATCAAGCAAGCGGTCGAAGACAGGTCTGGTGTCGATATGCTTCGCCAGCCCTACGACGGAGGAGTGTGATCCCTGATGTGATTTCATACTGTTGATTAACTTATGCAAGAGTTATCCCATATATATCATTATGCAATACACGATATGGAGTTGAGGATTATTTCTGAATATTTACTTCGTACCGGAGTTTGCGCCGTGGATACGTGAGTGAGTTAGCTCAACTAGGGTACGAATCTGTTGGTGAGCGAGGAAGGAAGAGAGGAGTTTGTCTGAAAACTAATCGCAGATAGTGTCACTGATACTAACCGACATTTCTCTCTTATAGGACGACGTTAGGACATAGCTGTGTGAATGCTTGTGTGCGCTACTGTCTCTGAAAAATTGTGAAATGTTACTTAGCCTTCCTGCCTGACTAATAAAGCGTCTAGGTCCTCAATCTCTTTCTTGTAGAGAATGGTCTCAGGATGTCACGATCGAAGACAAAAACCTGATGAGCTCGGAAGAGAATCATAGCACCCTGCATCCCTTTCGTAAATCTATTGGCAGTAGGTATGAGCAGAAATTACTCGAAACGTCGATGGGAATAATCATTCGCTTCTGCTCTTTGCAGGTTCCAACGGAATGGTCAGTTCGGCATCCACAGTCGCTTGCTCTACCCCTTCTCCTTCGCAGTCATCGCTGGCGCTCGTGGTGACACCTCCTCCGTCAGGTCTGGTGGGAACCCCCCAGGCGCTTGGAATCCCTGCGGGCAATAACGCCTTGCAGTTACGTCCTTCAGAGGCGTGCATCCCTTGCGAGATTTGCGGCCGTAGGTTCCGGAGTGTTGCCGATGTCCGTTCTCACATAGCCGCCATACATCTCAAGAACTCTGAGGATCCTGAGCGGAGATTTCAATGCGAGTTCTGTCCATTTCGCGCGTACACCAAAACGTCGATACGTCAGCACATGTTCTTGCACACCGGTGAGGTGCCCTACAAATGTGATCTGTGCAGCTACGGAGCCAGACAGAAGTTCCATTTAGACAGGTCAGTACTCCGACAGGCTGCTCTCATGAACTCGTTCTCGTTCCACCCTTTCCCGCTGCATTCCCGTTCCGTGTCTCATTCTTCGAGGCTAAGAACCAAGAACGTTCCCCCTTGCAGACATCGACAAAAGGTGCACGGGATGGCTCCCACGCCGAAACGAGGTCGCTTCCCCGGACGACCCTCGAGCGAATTGTCAATCCTACCCGTAGGACCTAGCGCATCTCCTCCTGACAACGGATCAGGCGGCCATAACGGACATTCGAGCGATCCCGAAATGCCTGTATTCCCACCAGTGTTCCCTTCGATGCTCGATCAAATTAGACTCGATCCGACGGCTATGAACCTTGCATCCAACCTGTTCAAGTTGATTTCCTCGAACGGAGGAAGCAGCAGTGCTGGTGGCAACGGGTCTTCGGCTTCGACAGGATCAGATCACAGTTCGCAAAACAACGACCTCTGAACGACGGGCGACGGACTACGCCAGCAAACGGAACCCCATGTGAAGGATTAGGTATTTAGCGACCGTAGACGAGGTAGTCGACATTGACGAGCTAGTGTCCCAGTGATCCAGATACCTACTCCCGGTATTACCGAGTCCTTCCATGTCGAGTTAGTAGGAGACCGAGGGGAGTCGACGATTACGGGATGAGCGTGGACGGAAGAAACATAAGGTTGATGATTGACAGGAGGGTCACGCGACCCTCCGAATCTTCATAGTGTTGTGCGATACGCGGCCACTACAGCTGGAGAACGACTACATCGAACATTCCAAGAAAACATTCCAAACAGATAGTTTACATAACATTCCAGACTCAGTTTACAGAGTCAAAAAAGTTTAGCAAACAGTCTGACTGTATGGCTTTCGAAGCTCCTCTCTGGAAGCTACGGTGAAGAACGAGTCAAAAACCCATACTTACAGAAACAAAAACACGCATGCATACAGATGATGAATAATCTCGTACGGCTCTTCCACTGTGGACCCGTACTGCAAAGCTCCAACCCGGCTCCGAGGCGACGGTCGAAGTTGCGGTCGGAACCACTCGCCTACGACGATTGTGATCACGAATGGTGTTGATCTCTTCCATGCCAAATCTTCCGCAGTTATTTCTCTGCTGCAGATGGCCGCTATTTTTCTGCCTTATATTATCTACCGATAATAGATTGGGGACTCAGCTTGAGGTGGTTGAGTGCAGGTGGTCTTTTTTGTACACAAACAGAAAAACTGATCTATAAGCGTGCTAAGCGGACGGTGAGAAAAATTATTACCTACAAGAGAAAAGTCTTTCCGCCTACGAATGTAGAGATTGACAAGGCTAATATAAACGCGCCGGACGACGCCTTCGGAAAGGTCGACTATACGCCACATTCGCCAGACAGAGCTTACCTAATTATCCACTTACCTATTGTACGGATGACGGAGGAGCCAGTCACAGAGACAGCCAGAATTTTAGATCAGCGACCAATGCAAAGTATCCTAATTTTTGAAGAAAGTCGAAAGAAGACCCCACGCCGCCACAGACACTCCAGTGCCTATACTTTTTCGTGAAGACAATTTTCGAACCTACCACTACGAGTACTACAACCCAAACACTAACGAAAAAGCAACGACAACAGCAGCGAGAGCTACATTAAGAACTTAACCACCATCGACGATGATTACAAACACAACATCAACAACAACCACAACAACCACAAGTACTACATCCACAACAATTACTATTACTATAACTCCTACGATTGCATCGACAGCAACTACTACAACTACTCTTAGAGGGAAAACGATGATGATAGGCACCATGTCATACTTGAGCATCTAGGTACGTCCGAACTAATGATTGACTATATTATTGACTCATTATGATTCTCCTTACCGCCACACGAGTGCGATATACTGGTATTATTTTCGGACGAATTACTTCTCCGATAGCCGCACAGAAGTTCAAACAACTGCAAGATTTTAAGTATGTGTACGGGCTCGCTAGTGTTGCGTCATTCATGTGAGCCCCTCAGACGCGAGTTCGGGTGGTATCATTACGTTATTTTTTTCTTGTGGCATTCCCCATTGACACCAAAATGTTTCCACGTTGACATCTGTTCTGATCTCTGATGGCGATCGGTGGGATTAGTCTGCGAATCGCAAGTAGATGCGCCGATCGCTGAACAACCAGCAACCGTACAACTAGCCATAGACGCGTTCATTTCAAGCGTTTCTGTTCGAGACAGATCGTTGTTCCCGAAACCCGAGGTCGCACATATTTGACAAACCAATGCATCCAATGATTTTGCCAAACCCTGATCTCAGTCGACAAGGTGTTGCAACTCTCATTTTTTTCTAAATCTGGAGCAGCGATTCGTCGAGAACAGTGTTCACAGTTATTGAGTTTGGGCCTCATCATGCCCAGCACTTTATGCGTTCTGCATGGAGCCGAAGTTTTTGTTGCTCTCCTTTTTTTGACGTCCGAGACCGTGAGGATCACCCCCGGCACTCGACGGAGTCATCGACGGCGAACCACCCCTGGTCCCCATATGCCAACCACGACTACCACCTCGTGCTCAAAATTATTTCATCGTTGCGGAGCTCATACGATCGATCTGATGCTTAGAACCGACTCATATATTGCAGTTGTTCGATTTTCTGTTCACGCCAGACGGCTCTGACCAATCACAGAACAGCTATTTTTTATCAGGATTATTTTCCGTATGACGACAGGTGAAAAAATCTACATACATTGAAGAGACCGTTTCTCGTACTACTGTGCCCCGAGTGAGACAATCAAACCGTGAGCACGGACCACAAGCATTGGAGGGCTTCACTACGCTGCTTAATTCCTGAAGCCCTTCTATAGCAAAGAAACATTCCTCCCATTCGGTCAAATCTCAAAGTCAGTCAAATTAGATCTCAGAACAAGCGTGACAGCTGATCTCATTTGCTAGAAGAAGCGGAGAGCGTTCGCAGATTGTAGAGCGAGCAGAAGGGTTGGCAGACCGAAGGACAAGCTGGCGGTAGCTCTGGAAATCGCGGCGGCGGGAAAAAAAACAGAAGAATACAATCAGAAACATTTGTCAATCAAACACGGAGCTACCGCGAGAGTGAGTCGCTCGAGTGGAGGTTGTACCCACTTACGAGATAGACTTATTGGGTTGTCCTGCATTGCCTCCCGTCTGACATTTTGTAAATAGTTGTGTGACATATACCAATCGAATTGTATCCCATGGACGCTAAAAATATTTTGCTAATTGTAAGGTCTCTTGTCCAGTCAGACAGAAACCTCATTTGAAGAGAGCTGCGCCGACTATATTTTGTGCACGCTTAGCCGCACGTCGAAAAGTGAAGACATCGATCGATATTAGAGCATGTACGTACTACAACGGAGGAGAACATTCCGAGTATCGAGAGTCATTCTGAGTTCACCACAATTTCAAGACAACCAATCCAACGACAACAGCTACGTTAAGTCATTCCAGGTTGAATTGGGTCAGATATTTGTGGAAGGTGTCGACCTGACGATCTCTGCCCTATGTATTCTGTACTATCGATATTGCCTTATACTAGTTGAGCACGAATTGATTGGAGTTCATCCAGTGCTAGTAACCTGCCTAAAATACTGGTAGGCGATATCTATGCCAAATCGATAACCACGACGACACAGAAGCCGGGAGCCGGCTCGCGACATTGAATGCCCCGCTGACGGCTTCCGTCGCTTTCGACTACTCACGAGAGGAATACGGAATTCAGAAAGTGTCGGCTGCAGAAAACAAAATGTAATGCGAACGGAGTGAAGAGGAAGAATAAAACAAGCATACAGATTGTAGCAACGCTTCATCTTTCACCTCCCCGGCGGGTCTCGGAGTCCGCACCGGCGTTCCGGGCAGACCAGAGGGAGATTTCAGACAGTCTCGGACTCGACCGTCGATCTTGGGAGAAGCTGGAAATAGCGGATACAAAATTCTTCTGGGGTTTTCCACAGATCGAATAATCCTCCGAGCAAGTTTAGTTCATTGGCTTTCCTATCAATTAAATCATCAATCGAGTGGCAGAGAACTGCTCTCGCAGAAAAGCGCACGGTGTAGCTCTTTCTTATTTGATCTCTGCAACGACGGGGAGCTTCGTCCTCTCTCCTGAATCAGGGACGCGGTACGTGCACGTCCGCTGTGTACATCTCATTCGTCAAAACAAACGGAGCTCGACGAGTCCCGAAGATTGTGACACCGTCTGCGCAAGTCGAGCACTTCTTCGCGGGACCGAGGATCTATTCCATTCTATTTCCTTGCAGAACATTCCGTTTCTCAATATGGCGACGCAAAATGATACCAGTGAGTGGAGGATCTCCGTTCCAGTAGCAGTCTTCGTGAGCTGACGCTTGGCCAGATCTGCTGCATGGATCTTGTTTCACGAGTCTCGCATTTTCGCATGTCCGGTTTTCGGGCATAACTGTTGCGACGGGTCGGAGTGAGTCCCGGCGAGACATTCAGATCTAAAATCGTAGCTATTTCCCAGGTGAGGTGGAGAAGGAACAACCCGATTACGTTTCCCGATATCTGGAAGGTAGAGCGATCAAACTTGTGAAGATGCGTGTTTTCAAAGAACTTGCCAGTCACCTATACGAAGACGAAGAAGATAAAAAAACCGCGAGGCAAAGAGCCGACGCCGAGCCACAGATGCATTTCCCCGACCCCCGACTCAATCCGCGGGGTCTTCTGTGCAGGGTCCCCGACAATATTCGACGAGCTTCATACGGAATTTGCAGCCTGAACAATAACCGTGAAGAAAGAATTCGGAGAAGACGCACTAAGAGAGCCCCGCGCACACGTGGTGCAACAGCAAGCACCCCAGTTCCGAAAGGATCTGGGGACGGCAAGCGCTCGGGAGCGTCTTGCGTACAGAACCCTCTGCGCATCGACGCCCCTGGGGAGTCGACGGAGCTTTCCGAAATCGAGGAGATCCGAGGCGGGGATCGGGGAGATAACGAGTTCGACATAGACAAATCGAAGGGCCGCTATTCCTACGATGACAGACCCGACGAAGAGGAAGTCCCCGATGACAACATTGACCGAAACTTGTACACTGCAGGCCCTCCGGAGCCGATGTCCGAGCATGGAACGAACGATATGCGCATGAATATAGAAGTCCAGGACGGAGGAATGCGGGTCGCGGCGAACGCAGCCGCGGCTCGCGGTACGTCGGCACAGATTGCACCACAGAGCCAGAGCCGCGGTAAGGCTCAAGGAATGCACGTTGGAGCTCCGACCATCGACGGTCCACGCGGCGGGCTGATTTCCGTGCAGAACAGTGACAATGAAGATTGGGACGATGATGATTTCGAATCAGTGTCCAGCTTCAAAACCGGAGACGGCTTCCATACAGCGTACGAGACCGAAGACGACGCGAATACAGGAGCGGAATCCGACGGGACTGTCGGAGAATATTTTCACGATTGCGCAGACGAAATGCCGGCTAATCGAAAAACAGATGTCGGAGGCGAGGGGATCGGAGACGGAAAGATGCTGGAGCTCGACTTGGAATGTGAGGGATATAAACCCGTCGTCTCACCCTTGAACCAATCGGCGACCAAGGGACATCTCGCGCATAATTCCATCGGGCAGAGCGATAACTCAATGGCTCTGGAGGTAACCGTTCTGGAAAAATCGACTCAGGATGTAGCTTCCGCCAACGCTCCGGACATCGGTGAATACATTCTCAGTGAGCTCTCTGATCACGAAACGAGCGGTCCGCGTCCGCGTCATACCGAAGGGGCGGAATCACGATCGGAGGAGCCTCAAAGTGCTATCTCGGGCGTCACGATCAATGCAGAGGTCGCTGAGCAGGCGCCTCAGTCTCAGATGATTCCCGTAGAAATCGTTGCAAGCACAGGAGAAGCTCCGAGTACATCCGGAAACGCCCCAGCAGCAGAGGTCGACGGGACCCATAACCAGGTTGTAAGCGACGCGCAAACTGTCTCCGATGGATCGGACCATGACATTGAGGCGAGTGCGGACGACGAGGGAAGTTATTACGACGAGGACAGCTATTACGATGAGGACAGTTCAGAGGAAGAGCTGAGCATCGATCTCGAAGAAGAGGAGAGCTCCGACGATGCACCGGGAGAAGCTCTCGATGTCGGCGATCCCGAATACGATGTTCAAGCCGGCGCACCTCCGCCCTACGCGGACGATGCGGCCCCCCAGCAGGTGCAACAAATGCCTTATTACGGCCATCAAGCTGCAGTGAATGCCTCCGGACAGAACCAAGGCCTAGACCGCAACTATTTGGTGTTCCGAATCGTGCAAGATATGATGGAGGAGAGGCTCAGGAATCAAAATCTTGTGATGAGAAAAAACACCGTTGTGCAGGCCATCGTTGATCTATCCCAAGAAGAAGGTCGCGCTTTCCTCCACATGCTCAAGGACCATTTTCTACGCATCAGACACGTGATGGGCACCACAGGCAGAAGTGATATCCCGTTGAGTGAGGAAGTCTGTTGCCTCGTCTGGACCTTACGTGTCTGCGATTTTGAAAATCTCTTGAGGTTCGTCGAATCGATTTCGACACATTTCGACTCCCCTCTCGCCAAAGTCAAGTCCGTCCAGGAGCTCGCTCGACGCGTCGATTTCGAGTTTTCGTCGCATCTCCTGCGTAAGATGTTCCGCAACGATGTCAGGAAGGCTGCTCAGAGATCTATCGAAGCTGATGAGCTCCGAAAAAGGGGTCGCATCTAGAATGACGTACAACTTGGATGATCCGTGAGAGTGGGCAGCTACAGAGGATATCTCTGAAGTCCCTTGTGGAACGATGACCCATGATCCCCGATGGATGGAAGGAGTCCGATGAAATATTGATCATAATAATTGTTGAGAATAATGAATAATATTTGACTCATGCCTCGAGCTAATTTGTATCGAGTGGCCGTCCGAGAGGCATGTAAATTCATATGAGATGAATGACGTTCGCAATAAATTTGCCTCACTGAATAATTTCCCTCGTCCAGAAGGAAATTTTCACTTCTCGTCCCTACGAATTGATTATTCTCCGTATACCGAATATATCACGATAGGCATGCCGGGCCCAGATGAAACCCGTAAGTTCCCTGCCTAAGCTCAGAATTCGCCGAAATAGCTTCCAGGTGTGCCGGGCGCGTTGGCGAGGAGCATGGTGCACGATGAGAGATGCAAGCCAGCAATCACGTGCATGCTTCGCTATCAACCTAAGCAGACGATGGTGGTCAACGAAAATTATTTTGACGCATTGTGTCGGAAAAGCCGATCACAATCTGCCCTACCCTCTTATTCTGCTCTGTGATCTAGCACTTTTGACCGCGAAGACAATTTTTCATCGCCGCGCGGAATCAAGATGGGCAAAGTTCAACGCGGGAGAAGGAAGTACCACGATAAGGTGAGCCACAAGAAAATCAGGAATCAATTGAACCCCAATGAGGCTGGACAAGACGGCCCACAAGCGGGACCAAGCGGGGCTGCCCAGCAGCCCGTTGAACAGCTCGGAGAACCCGTCGCAATGCAAGATGAACAGCAGCAACCCGCTGAGGAATTCGCAGGGGAGGCAATGGTGGAAGAAACCCTGGGTGAGGCCATGGACCAATTCATGGAGGATATCACTGAGGAGACAATAGTAAGTAAGGACGTTGAACTCATTTGGTTCCAAGAATCATTCCGAGCGATTCGCATGATCGTTTCCTAATGAGTCGGTCTCTCGTCTGCTTTGAAGGAAGAAGCTCAACCGTTCTTCTGCGGTAAACCAATCTTCTTCAGCGATCTTCCCGCGAGGTTCAGGCTTGAGGACGTTCCGCTCTACAGTAGGACTTATCTGCCATTCGCTCAGTGCGACGTGTGCAGCAGTTACTCGGTCAGAGCCGTTGTGGTGGAATGCGGTCATAAGTTTTGCGAAAATTGTGTCAGGCTGTCGAAGGTCGGCCGAGGTGTTCTCTGCCTCTTCTGCCAGAAGCAAATGCCGTATAACGTTCTTGAAGTCGCTGAGGATTTCTTAGCTCGTCGAATCCTCCAGTGTAGGTGTGGTTTGGAAGCGCCGCTGATCGATATGCACAAGCATATAGTCGAGAGAGGGAAAAGATGCTACATCCCGAAGTTGCCGATAAAGCATTTGATGACCTGTAACAAATATCATGTGAAGTCGAAGCGATGGCCCAATCGCATCTCGTACCTTGTACCAGGTGCCCTGTACAACCTCAGAGATATCCAACCTCCCCAAGACTCCAAGATGTTCCTCGAAACAACACCGAGAAACCCGAATCTGCCCCATGTCTACATAGATCTGGACGCCGACGGGCTGTTCCTGGGTCGACTTCATATCGAACTCCGCGAGGATATCGTTCCGAAAACCGTGGCGGAATTCATCGATCTAATCACCGACTCCAAGGGCTACAAAGGACAAGAGATTGATTTCATCATCCCGAATACCCTGCTCCAAATGTCAGGCCTTACGGGCTATGGGAAAAGCGTGAAGAAATCTTTCCCGGACGAGAATTACGAACTGAAACATGACAGACCTGGCGCTCTGGCAATGTCCAACATCGGTGCAGGTACCAGCCAGAGCGGATTTTACATAACCACGACAGAAATGCCTTGGCGCGACGGTAACAATGTAGTATTCGGCTACGTGATCTCGGGAGATCAAATTGTGAGGCGGACTTGTGAATTGGGGCGCCAAGACGGCACCCCGTTCCGCCGAGTGAGGATCCGGGATTGTGGATTGATCCGTGATTGGATCTTACCCGCGGTTTACTACATGGCCGAAAGTGACTCTGAATCTGATCCTTGAAATTAATTTTGGGTAATTTTGCGATTTGGAATTTTGTTTATGCACGGAAGAAAAACTCATTCATTATATTTGGCACCAATGTCAAATAGGATTCAATGTCGGAAGGCTTTGCCGTATCCGCAAGTAGTTGAAGTTGATTTGACAATCGAATAAAAGGGACTCTCTCACACGAATCATCTTCGGAAGATTATTCCCTCCCGCGAGGAGGGGCGGTCGCTCATGCTCATAGAGTCACCTCAGAGTCTGGACCCCATCCGCGGAACGATTGCTGGGCAATGCACGGCTCGACTTTCCGGGGTCTCAGGGATCATTCATTCTCCATCGAAAGAGACGATCTCGTCGGTCGCGAACGCTCTTGGAGAGTCACACCGGAAGACATTAGGAACGGTATCGAGGCAACGGGCTTTCTGGAACTCGGCTCCCCGAGCGTCGCTCGCCGACCTTGCAACTATGCACCAAGCAGGGACAGCTTTATCAAGCCTCTGATGCTTTCACGTCGATTCTCATCATAATACGAGCTAGTCTCTAATTGCAAGTCAGCTTCCTACGAGCGAAAGCTTCCGCTCGGATTTATGACAGTGCACACGACGCGACTCGGCTCATCCTGGGGTTGGATGTAAGCCGTTAGAAAACGCTCCCTGAGTATCTCAGCGCGAGTCGACTGACAGAGAAAAGTCTTCCAGGGCAACGTAAAGGCAAAGGTAATCGATGGGGAGACGGTTTCTCAACGCAAGGGCCCCCCCCAGCGACCACGATCCTCAAGCTGCACGAAATACGGAAGATGCGCAATTTCTGTATGTACATAGGAATGCAGGAAAATTCTCACCTTATCCGGCCAGTATTGAAGAGGACCCGGACCAAATCCACGATCACAATTGCTGTGGCTTCACCCTGGAGCTCAAAGAATCATCGGATGCGATGAGCATGGATCACGTGATCCTCGCGCATCCGATGAAGAGTCCCGCGAAGTTGACGTAAGGGCCTAAAGCGAGATATTCTCCAACATGCGAATCCTGACCTTGGCCAGCTTCCGATGTTCCGAGCGGGAATTCTCCATGCATCGTTCGATTCCTATCCTCACCATTTGACTCCTCACAGAGCATCTAATCCGTCCGAATATCATCGTCGTCAGGCTCGAATTCGAGGCATACATGTCAAAGTGTCGGTATCGGGATTTGCAGCGATTTCTATATATCAGGGAGTGGGAGGCTCCGGTCCTCCTTACAAGAGGTAGGTTTCGGAGGGGTGGTACTCCAGATGGCCGCTCGATATTTCAGCGAATGTTGCCGACTAGGTTCGGAAGCGCCGCCTGCCGTCCGTGGAACCTCCTTAGAGAAAGCACACCCAACTAAAACATAAATCGGTCCGAATCAGGCCACATATTTATTGATTCGGCAGGGTTGCCGATCTTCAATATACATCGTGCTACGAATGCTTTTTTCGGGAGCCGTTCCTTCAGGTAGCTGACAGTTCGTGCCAGTGGTGGCCGCCGAATGTTGGTCAGTTCGCTTTCCGGGGGTTGTTCACTGTCACATAGTGGTATATGACCACCAACATGAACAAGGATATACCCATCAAATTCGAAAAGATGGCCAGCTGGATATCCGTGAGCATCTTGTCGATTCTGGACTGCCGATGTCAGGATGGGTAGGCAGTATCGACGGTTTGCTACAGGCTCACTGGATGAGGTGAAGGAAACAACACGGAACGGATCGGAGTCGGCGGCGGTACGTGGCTCCCCGGTTTGTCACAGTTGACAACAACACAAGCTTCCGTCGAATACCATCCAGAACGCTCCCTGTTCCTAGCCCTAGAGAAACGTCTGCTCTCGCTCACAATAAGTTGCTCACGGACTCCCGCGAGGCATGAACTTGGTCAATGAAGGACGGCGGCGGAATTAATAGGTACGAGTGGAGCCTATGTGACTCGCTCGATGCTCACGACGAGCTCTATAATGAGTTAAAATACAATCATAGAGGAGGTCCGGTTGTCCCCACTGTGGACTGCGACCTGCGACCCTCCCCTACTCTCTCACTCCTTTGCCGTTCATTTCTCGCCCTCACCGATGTCCTTCTCCCCAATCGGTCTCGTGACGAAACTAACCCGAGTGCGCCACCTGGTGGAGAAGTTCGAGCGGAGCGCGGCGTTTGAAAGCCCGGCAGCAGAATCGGCTTTCAACGAAGTGCTGCGGGAGTGCTCATGTCTTCGACGGTGACTGCTCTGTTGTGACACGTGAGGAGTGTTCTATAAAATTTCTGTGCAGTTGTTTCACGTTACCTATTGGATACTAAGGAACATTCTTTATCGACCCTAAGCGAAAACTTCCCCGTAAGCTTCCTCACAAGCTTGTCACCGGAATATACACGGGTATGTCGATGACTAACAAACGAATGGGGCTGGCAGGTCTGCCAGCCAGCCAGTCAGCCCATCTGACCGCTGACTAATCTCGATATTCGCATACGAGCCCCGGCTCTGACTCCGAGCCTATCACCCCGAGGCGCCGGAGTTCCAAGCCGCGCCTTTCGGGGAACTATCAGAAGACCGGGTAAACACACCCAGCTCACAATCGAACCAGTGAAATTGGTTGAACAATCACGACCCATCAACTTGCGGCGCTCAGCGGGATTTCGAACAAGACACTTCGCTCGACTCCAATCGAACTTCATCATTACTGTGGACCTGAGGGATCTTACTCGGAACTCATTCACTCTCTCGACCGCTCTTCACTTGACTTATGAAAATCGGATTCCGCTCACGGAGATGAACTCGGATTTCCGTCGTGAGACGATTGGCTGAGTCAGAGACGGATAGGTTCGCGCGCGGAGGATTTTTGAATCCCTTGACTCTCCATGATGAAGCCCCCTGACACTTTCACTCACACGTGCCGGCGTGACGTTCCGCTACGCTTCGCGAGACGCTATCTTTAAATTCTCACGCACTCCGAGAGGGGCCTCCCTGACCGACTAATTATATTGAAGGGATGAATTCGAATTTCCTGCGCTGTTCGTCTTACTGTGTCGATCCTCCAATCGTCTTCACTGGAAGGAGACTGAGGATTTCATCGACCACTGATCCTTGATATCGATGACATGCCTCGACATACGGATTCGAGATCCACCTCTGGGAGTGCAAAATCAATGGTTTCCAGTGAGCCGATCCCTTCCGACGTCGCTTGGAAGTACGGAACCAACACGAGTACCCCAGGGGAGCGTGAAATCGACGCTACGATAAGCTGCCGTCATTAGCTCGTAATATCAGATGATTTCAATTTGGAGCTGCTGGCGAGATATCATCGAATGATATGGATTCGAATCGCATTATTGTGCGAGCATAAGCCCAAATACGGTTGGAAGACGACGCGAAGCCCCAGAAACAGTGTCCGCTGGCTTCCCAACTCCTCACTGCGGAAACAGAGCCTGCGAACACTTTTGCGAGGGTCCCCGAGCTCGGAAAAATGCTCCACGTGCGGGAGCTAGACAATTGATTTGTTGGTCGTCGGACAGATACGACTGACTGACTCGGTTGGAGTGTCGTCGATGGAGCTCAACGCCAGAGGTACAAAAGGCGGCACCGCTAGCAGCCACAGGAGCTCGATACCGACTTACTCTGGGAGTTCGTGTTGATTGCGCCTACTATGAGGCCTCTCTCACCTAAACCCCGGCGCTAACTCGGGCCGAGCTCTTTTATAGTGGAGGCCTCCTCCGACTATCTACCACTAACACGAGAGCTCCTACGAACTCTGTCCGTTTGCCGGGCGCCTGGTTTACTCGCCGCTTGTTTGTTCGAGAGCCTGTCTGTGTTCTGCTTACACTGTTCATGGCATATCATCATCAAAGGAGTTTTTTGATCTTCAGTTTTCCTGGTTTACCTCCCTGTCCATGACAGAGTAAGCTTGAGGACGATTCTGAATCTCGTATTCTGTTTTGGTCGAACATTCGCGGGGACTCTGGCTCCGGAATCGAGAGCGAGGTTTTCCATGATCTTGTATTGATTATTATCCACACCTCCCAAGCTCGGATCTTCGGCGTTTCTCGTGCGATTCCGCAGTCGACGGAGAGCTCAGCTTTTGTGAGCCCAAGGTCAGAACGACGCTCCAATCTAATGCATGTACAAATCCGATTCATTAGCGGATCACGCCATCGAATCTTCGATGAGAGCCACGAAATCAAGATCGAAGGTTTATTTATTTTTCCATCCGACCGTACATTCTGGAATCAAGCGGAACCGTAACGGTAATCGATTTGTGACCCGAATTCAGCCACGCGAGAGTCGATTCTTTTCTGGAATCCTTAATTACAACGCTTTCTCGCTTGATCCAATATCGTGAGGGGGTTCTCCGCACAAGGTTCTTCCTTTCGCTCGCGTATCCTAGTTGTTGCCCGTACTTTCGCGGTCCGCCTCCTGCAGGGGTGCACTGAGAGATCGAATGAGTCATCGTGTCCTGCGTCCTGTCACTCAGGAAGCTCCGGGGTATTCGCACGCGTCTCTGCTAATGGATCGTTGGCTGACTGAGTAGTGAAAGGATTACCCAAGGCTGGGGCGGTTGACAGCTTGCTCTGAAAATCATTCGGTTATTCGAGAAGAACGCAGAGACTTAGAATCGCGGAACACACATGCAAATGAAAGTTGAATTCAGACAGTCGTGGTAGAGGTTTCCCAGACTTGAGTTTTCTACTCTGTAGTATCACCTAGCAACTTGACAATGTTTGAGAACACAATAAGTATTCCATGAGCGTGCTCTTACCTGCTCTGTGTACTCCATTGACGACACTTGCTCGGATTCGATCGCGTTGTTCTTCGAACTTAGTTCGTCAAGCAGGCTGATAGTCAAGATTCTCGGAGATAGCGCGGCTTCGATCTCCCCGCATGGAGCCGAACATCGCCCTGTTGCTTGACAGGGAGCACGGCCGAGCTCAAACAAAAGTATCCCACACTAAAAATCAACGCATGAGCTCCGAGCCCACGGTGTCGATCTCATCCCGCTCCGAATGAGCGGTCGATCTTCCTCTCAAGCGGAAATCTCGAGCTTCTGGAACAAAATTATTCTACCTCCCTCTGGAGGAGACCTGTGTCGACTACGAACATCAGTCCTCCCGGCGGTCTTCTCGGACGGAGGAGGAACCCCGAAATTTCTATCGTCATAGCTCGCGCTCCAAATTTTCTGAGTTATTGGACTCTGGTCAAGAATAAGTGCGCCGAACTTCACCAACCCCGATGAACGTCCCGCATGCCCCGAGCCAATCGACATTCTCGTAGGTTGCGCGGCCCTTCCGTCGAATTCTCGTGAAGACTTCAGGGAAGAATAGGTAACACCCAGTTCGACGAAACTCACTCTTGGCCGAAGCTCTGGAGTCGGGAGCGCCACAGTGGCCGGCTGAGAGATGGATACGTCGATTCATAAATATCGGAGCACGATTCCGTCCTATCTGCTTCCATGTTTTCTTCGATTTCCTCGTCGTGCTGATGGAAAGTAGCTTGGAGACGCCGAGTATTTTTTCTGTCAGATGACGACATCATTTTGTTGGATTGGGCGAAGGACACTTCAGCAAACGAATCCTACTCAAGGCGAATTGCCGTGCAGGGAGATGCTTCTGGTAGCCCAAATCAGCCATTGAGAACATTTCATTTTATCGGCAGAATTTTTCTTCTTTCGAGGGCTGATGAGCTGGAATGGAACTTCAGACCTACGCTCTCAGCCAGAGCGATATCCCTTGGGGGGCTCGACTAGCCGCTAGAGCACGTCGATCGTCGGAGCCATTCCCGAAAGAGAAGAGTCCAGGTGACACAAAGAGCCGAAATACGACATAGCCATTCTGTTGATCAGGTGTTCCATGGCCCAGTCACCAGTGGCGCGGATGACGTCGTCGCGGCGGTGGTTATGCCCGACTGCACTCAGAGCAGATGACCTGGGATTCTTTGGCGTGAACCTGTGAGCAGAGTACGCCCATCAAAACGGTTTCATTTTAGAGCTGTCGTAGTCGCTAGAGGGATCGAGGATCGCCTCTGCTCCAGGACGGATGCCTTGGGAGCTTTCTACTAATCGAATAAATCACGAGTCGTGTTTCCGGTTCTGTCAAGAACTATCAAAAAGCGTTCGTGAGTTGAGAGCTGGAAACTTCACGACCAGAATGCAGAGACAATGAAAACACGAGCTGTTTCGAAATCACCACCGCATGGCTTGCCTGTATTCAAATGATTGTATCCATATATGTATCACGGGTAGGAATATTCTATATCTGTATGGAGTATGTACAGAAATTATGAGGAACGGGATACCGGGGCACGCGGATTCGTTGGCGAGGACGGCAGCCTTGTCTTTGATGACGCACTGACTCCGGGCCCCGAATAAATATTAGTCCTAGGCACTTCTCAGAGATGGAACCGGACGAACGGTTCGTCTGGTCCCCTCTCAATATACGGTATGTCACATTTTGGTCTTACTTCCGCCTGACTCGCGTCCGCTCCGCTAGTCATACGGGCGAAACGAGGAGTTTATCCTTGAGGTCAATATCGGATGTAGATTTCGGTTTGGTCTCTTTGACTTTGTTGACGACAGGATTTTGCGAGTATAAATAAGTCGCTATCGACACTATGCTTATGGCCACGATCGTCGGCATGTCGATGGGTATTGAGAATATAAACCAACACAATACTGCCGTGAACGATAAGTCTAGTGCACCGGCGAATGTCTTTAGGATCGAGTTGAGATTGCGGAGGAACACCGACACGATGATCCCGCACAAGGCCCCGTTGGCGATAATTAGCAGTACAATCGGTTCCCCGAATATGTGTCTCAAGGATTCGGCGTTGACGAGCTCGCTCGTCTGTCCGTTCCATGCCAACACTACGAGATTGCATACGATCGAGTCAAGATACATGAATAGGTTGTGGATCATGATGTGCAGGTCGGCCCCAGTGTCTTTCAGCAGGAACTCGTTGTAGACCCCTGCTAGACAGGAGCACAGCATCTGGAATAGCAGATACAGGATGTCGAAGGAGAACAGCGTTTCCAAGATTCCCACATCGGACGCCTGAGTCGATTCACCGGTGACGCTAAACTGCTTGATTATGCAGCCGAATGTCAGCAAGCACAGCGAGAACCACTGTTGTCCTGAGAGACGTTTCTCGAAGAGCACTTGGAAGACGATTCCCGTTATTACCACCCGGAATTGCATTAGCAAGTTATATGTTGTCGGGTCGAAATGTTGCAGATTTCGGAAGGCCAGGTTGTTGTAGAAGCAGTAGAGCAGTGCTGGCACGAAATACAAGAGTAAAACCTTGCGGTACTTGGAAACCTCACAGCATAACGTTGGGAAGTTATGATCCTTCAGATACAAGACTGTCGACAACACAAGTTTTAGGAGCTCCGTCAGCATAACCACGCACGTAACATTGTACGAGTAGGAACGGTTCGTTTGTGAAGCTTTGACCAGAATTGATTGGGCTATGAAGAAAACGATGTAGCCTACGAAAATGAGCGCCGAGAACCTCGTGGGGAAGATATCACCGAAGAACTTGCTCTTTGGGACCGGTTGAGACATGCTGCTCGCTGTTTATTGGCGGCGGGTCCTCGATGGATAATTGGCATCAGATGTTGACCTCAACAATAAATGCGCTCGGTGTTCCACGCACTCTCACTGACGGCAGCGCGTTGCATCGAGAGCTCACTTCTGGCTTCCCTGAGGGGGGACCCTACGTGGGCTACCTCTGCAGCCACGGCACACCATCGTTGACGCAATGATGGCAAGAACACTTAGGAACGTTCACAGTTTCGATCGCTCTGGGCGATCTTTGACTCGGTGGCGCCGTCACTGAGGGCTTTCCGGCTCGGAACGTTCGGCGGGAGCGCGGCCCGGAGACTTGCAGTACTGGACCCGGGTTCAGACGATCCTCGAGTTTGGAGCACTTGTGAGGCCGACCCAACGATTTGGCAACGATCGTGACTATGCCAATTGATATTCAGGGTCTCCTCACGTTGTTTTCCGTACTGCTGGTGGGAGACTTGCCACAGAGATCACAAGGCGTACCCATAGCAACTGACCGAGACCCTCTCTATTCTGAGCGAGGGTAATTTTGAATCCTTGGCGGAAGACCGACATCGCGCTGCTGCTGACGCATGGGCCGGCTGCATCGTTTCGCGTCGCGGCTGCGGCGGCAGTGATTTTGTGGACGAGAGTGGCGCAAGTGATTTTTCTGCGGCGGTGGGCCTAGACGAAGACGGGGGCGTCACCGCATTGAGTTGGGTTCTCTTCGTTCCTTGTTGATTGCGCAACACTGACAATCTGTCGGTGACGGCCGACTGGCTTTTTCAAAACGATGTCCAGAAACTCTCAGCAGAAGGAAGCATTGCGCCAAACAGTCCTACGATGATTCTCGTTAGAGGATCGGCTCCTCGAGGTATCAGGGATCGGTATCTGAATATTTCTACTGATGACACTACTGACTCGTAGAGCCACGGAGGAACTTTCCCCGTGGACGAGGGTGGGGTTTGGGCTCAGGACAAGGATCGAGGAGCCCGGCAGGTTTCAATTTTCTCCCTCCCTGAGGAAAATCTTGGGAACATGTTCCACCAGGGAGGCTGCGGCGGACGAGATGAGAATATAAGTAAAAAAAACACTCGTGTCATTGGGTATATGAGGTGCTCGATGTTTGCCGAAGAAACCATTCAGCTATACGTGACTGTGATGGTACATTGCCATCGAGCAGTCATTCCCGCTGTCTTAGCGAATTTTTCGCCTGTTCGAAGACATAATAGCAAAGATTCATCATGGGGCACGATGCGGGTTCCTTCCATCTGCACCGGAGCTTTCCTCGATGTGTGTCTACAACCTTGCGATGCGATCTATCAGTGTAGTGACGAAACGAGTTCGGAGGTATATATTCGGCGGGTTTCTGTTCGCGAGCTTGCCGAGTTGTTACTCACTCATTAGGCGAGTTCCGCGCTCCTCCGTCCCTTCTGCCGGAGAACAGGCTGAAGCTCCTCGCGGAAAAGCCTCTATCGGGCACAAGAGAAAACTTCGTTGCCTTCCTCTGGGGACGCGTTTCGCCGACCGAAGACAAACGTCTGATTCTATCTGAAAGGTGAAGTGCTAGGGAGCTGCGGACTGCTGTCTCGCGATGACACCGTTAATTGGTGACCCGTCATCGAATCTCAGCTGTTCGACTCGAGGCAGCAGTCGTCGTCTTCCTCATAGCGTTCATCTCTTCGCTCTTCTGATCCTGTTCGGGAACCACCCGTTGCAGATGGTTAGATAGCAATCTTCGATGGTAAAATATGAGAAATTCTTCAATACATTTCGTAAATTCACTAACGAGCTGTGGCAGGGGTGCGGCCGACTAAAAAGCTGTCCCTCAGACGAACCGACAGACTGACCGCCTAGCAAACCATCGGATGGTTGGCGAGAGCGAGACTCAATAAGAAAATAGCGAGGCTGGTGGCCATCGTTCGAAGAGCTACGTTCGGTCGGATTGGAGTCGAATATGTTCGGACGGAGCAGAGCTACGTCAATTCTTGGGGAATGCTCCCGATCGGAGACTTCATCCATTGCTCATCGGAACTCAAGGCGTCTCTGGCTCAAGTACCTCCTTCGCAGGAGGAGGAGCGGATGGGGAGCTTCCTCGAGGATTCCGGAGGTTATCGCGGGGAAGCAATGAGAAAATGTGCTTCCAAACATCGATGACCGCTAGCAATTAGCCGTAATCGATACTAGCGAATTGAGTCACTTCCATTATCGGCCTCTTTTCGGTCCTTTCAATTATGAACTGACATGATTGCATGGATTCCTTAGGCGTTGATCGGCTCTCTGGACGCTTCTTGGAATCTGTCATCAGAGGTCCTCCGGATAAATTCCATGTACTACATCCGAGAATACCTACTTGGAGGCGACATTGAATCAAGGCCCTCATGCGAGAACCGATGGAAAGACTGCGTTGAGGCAGGGAAGCCGGGACTAACGATGGTCTCGAGTTCATCAGTGAAAGAATATCTTGGATTTTTTCACGGTGGAAATTCAGGGACGGGGCTACGCGGCAGCTCTGTGAAGTAATCGATGGAACTAATTTGTGCATGCACTTCTGCTTCGCGAGATCAATGATATCAGTCGAGAGTCAGAAGGGAAAAATACCAAATGAGCTCCGAGATATTGATGAGTCTCGATCATAACGTGGTAGGTACCTCGGGACAAATGGAACATCGATGAACTCCTGAAATTGAGTTTCGCATTCGGATAAATGAGGGATTCTCTAGGCGCACGAGAAAAATCAACTTGCATTTCTGAGAGCTGTTCATTAGTCAGAGCCCGCAGTTGGCGAAACGGTCAATGTTTAATAATTTATTTAATGACAGCTCAGTGTATCCACGACATCGTGTTCAGTCTCTTTTTCTCATTCGGCTCTATCTACTCCGCACGGTATCCATTGCGTGATGCCCGCTCGCTTTCGATCCTTCTAAACGATGGGAGAGCTAATCTCCGGTAACAGGCCCGGCAGACGTATTATTGATATCAGTGCATATCCATCGTGGAGAAACCCGATATGTATAGACGCGTGATTCGAGCGAGTGGAGGCGAGAACTTCGGAGCGGGTCAGACCAAAGTTCGTCGTGGCTGCTGAACGCAGAAATTGGAATCTCGAATTTGTAGAGCCCGAACTGTCGGCTCAGGTGGCGGCGGAAATTTCAATTCGGCGCCCACTTCGAAGAACGCGCGCTCCGAGCATGTAAGGAACCGGCTTTCGATAGGCGGAGTTTATTCCGTATCTTGCGGCCCTGAAGAATGTCAAAATGACCAGCCCATGCGATTCGCGAGCCGACGGCGTATACAAGTTTATTTATTCACAGTCGATAATAAGGATGGGACGAACAACAGCAATCGTTGATGAGATCCGTTGCCAAACAGTGCCCCGGGCATCCAGTCTGTCATTCGCAGAAGCTTCACTGCGAGCGGCTAGAGCGGCTACGAACGCTGTTTTCGCCGGGACTCTCCAATGATTTCCGCGGCCGAGTGCGCCGTCCAGAGTTGTCCGTCTTCGCGAGCCTATTTATTCGCGTGCGTCATTTAACCTATTCCTCTGCATCTCTGCCTGCGTTGGACCGCTCGAGCCGGGTCGAAGACGCACGTTGCCTTATTCATTTCCAATTGCGGTTCCGCCATCTACATCATACTCCGAGAGTCTGACGCTGCGAAATAATTCCACATTCTGCATCAAAAGAACCGCCTCCCGAATTGCGATTTTTGAAATATTATATCTACAGCGCTTGCTGTTCCGCAACCAGAGTTTGCGTGGGTATCTCACGAAGCGAATCGTGAGCTTCGCCTGCGCTGTGAGCGGGGCGAGAGCCTCTCGTTCTCGCGTTCGGGGGTTGGTCCCCCGCTTTCTCTCGCTTCAGGGTCGCCTCCCCATCCCCTCCTCCCCTCCGAATCATTCGACAGGCCTGCGCAGAGCGCGCTCGATTCTGGCGCTACTGCGAGCTCTCGTTCGAGTATCCTCCCATTCCAGTGATGACGTTGCGGACTGTTCTCTCACTCAATCTTCCGATTCGTCCATCTGTGATCTATAATAGCGGCGTCAATATTGATGATAATTGAGTGGTTCTGCATAATCTTTCTCACGCCGAGTCCCTCGCCTGCATGCCCGAGTCATTTGCGAAAACGCCGGCTCTCATGACGATAAACATTCAAAAGAGGATACTTCTTCTGCCGGGAACTTCTGCCTCCTGGAAATGCCTCCCGAACGCCGCTTCGGACCCGATCGGCTCGTCCGGCCGCGCAGGGTCACCAGCGACGATCCATTGGATTCGCTGGGTGGTCTGACGTAGAAGAAGAGGCAAATACTTAATTCTTCCTCCTGAAAATCGAACACACGGGCGTGCGGACCAACCGACCGATAGATCAGGGCGCGCGGAGCACGTTGAAAGCTTTTCGATCAAGTCAGGACGATTTTTTTTCGTCCGACACCGGCTCAATTATTATTTTTTGATCATTGCCTCCGCCCTTCTTTCAATTCAGTTTTCCACCGATCGGCAATCCGCCCTATCTTATAGACAAATCGATGGACTGATCAAATCTGAAAGACGGTGATATATGTACACCGTTCGTTCAGAATGGTGATGTACTATTCATTCAAGGCGAATCTTTGAGCAGTGTATGTACATATGTAGGCAAGATGGGTGAGGATTTTTCTCTCCGAGAGCAGATCCCGCCTGCGACAGAAGCGACTCGTATTCCGCGAATTCCAGCTCGTGTCGCGCATCTCACTTCGTTTTGCTGGAGAGCCCAGCCCCCACCTGAATTAGGAAGCACGGTATCTGGTCTGAAATTTTGACACAGCTGGTTCCATCTATCCATGAGGGCCTTATTCGCGCCTGTTTTCTGAGCTTCCCTGGCATGAGTAGAACTCGCGGAAACAGTACCGTCGGTCTCCTCACAGCATCTCGAGCTTGAGATGCTGCAAAAAAAGAGGGGAGCTGTCTCAATCATTCCTCACCTTCATCCGATTCTCGCATACGGCGCTCCATCTGAGAATTCCGCGCTCCGAACATCAATTGGCGAACTGTGAAATCACTCGACTCGAAGTCGCGGACGGAGAACCGATCAGTCGGCCTGAATTACATTCAAATCCGGAGTTCGAAGACTGAAATTAGAGCACGATTCTCCGGAACGACCCGAGGAAAATGATGAATGGTTGCGGCGGTTTCTGCGGAGCCGACGCTGGTGACCGGTTTGATATATCGACGACTGTATTGCTTCCTTTGTCCGAGCTAGTTTACATTTGATGAGGTGGAGGCTCATAACAAGCGCCACTCGATCGCGTAATGGAGGAGAACACATGAGCGAGCAACAAAATGAAGAGAAATAGGGCTTGACGAGAGAAAAAAAGGTCGTAATCGATCTTGGCAAATTGCTCCTGACGCTTCGGAAGGAACAAATTCAAAATTTGACGGTCAATTCGAGCCGTTGCATCTGCCACATCTCGCATACATTGCTTTCCCGGTTGACGTC